GTTGATAAAACTGATACCATTCTAATGTTATTCCTTTATATGTAATAGGTTTTTTTTCCTTCCTAGAATTTAAGACCTTTTTATCGTTCTGAAATTTTGTGAGGGAGGTGTGTGTGTGTTTCCTTCAATGTGTTGGACACTCAGCCTGTTAACCTGAAAGCTGGTATCTCGTAAGGTCTGGCAATTTTTTTCTGGTATTTCCTCTCCATTTTTTTATGTTCTCTCCTTCTGGAGCGCTTCTCGGTCATAAACTGATTCTTTATAATCTTTTCTCTGATTTCTGTTACTTATTTTTTTCCCCATGTTCTATTTTATTTTCCAACCCTATTATTAAAGTTATTTTGATAATCACATATTTAGTATTCAAGAACTTCTTATTGACTGTTGCTTTATATATGCATATATGCTATGGCCTATTTTTATACTTTCCCTTGTGGTTCTTCTTTAACTCATTGTTTATTTAGGAGTAGATTGTCTAAGATTCACAGATTTGTGGATTTTCCCAATTTCCTTCTGTTGTTGATTTCTAATTGAATTCCATTATGGTGGAAGAGCATGCTTTGTATGATTTCAGTGGTTTTAAGCTAATCGAGACTTGTTTTGTGACCTAGGAAATGGTCCTGAATGTGCATTCTGCAGTTGTTGATGGTGTGTTCTGTAGATGTCAGTTAGGTCTGGGTGGTTGTTGGTTTGTTCAGGCCTGCTATATCTATGTGGATTTCCCATCTCACTTGATCTATCCATTATTGAGAGCGGAAGTCTATAACCGTTATTTTTGAATTTGTTTTTTCCTTTAGTTCTCAGTTTTTGCTCTGTGTATATTTTGGACTCTACTGTTAGATGCATATGTTTATAATTTTATTTTTGTAATGAATTGATCCTTTTATTATAAAATTCACTGTGCTAGTAACACTTTCTTACAGTCTGTTTTGTCTGATATTAATTAACATAGATGCTCCAGCTTTTTTTGGTTTTTGTTTGCATGGTATATTTTTTTTTTCCATCCTTTTGTCTTCAGCCTATTTGTATCTTGGAATCTGAAGTATGCCCCCCCCCCTATGAAGGTTCATAGAGGACCCCCAGAGTCAGGCCACTGCAAGCCCTGGGGAGAGGCAAAGACCCTAGGGGACACTCCAGCCCCCCCTTACTGTGACTCCTCACACTCAGAAATGATCTGTGGGGTAGGGGGTCCTGGGATGTTTTTAAACCTAAGGTTTGGAGTCTGGACTAAGTTCCATCCACATCACTCACAAGCTTCTGTTTGTATTTCTACCTTTTTTAAATTAAAAAACAAAAAATAGTTTAAAAAAAAGAACAACAGAAGACTGAAGTTTTCACAGCCCAGGGGCCTGGTATGCCAGTCTGTGCCCGCCTGCCCTGGCCCACTGGCCCCATTCCCTGGGCAGAGTCACACCCAGTAACCCCTTCACCAACAGACCAGGTCACACACACAGCAGCAGTCACTGTAACAGACTGCCATGTACACACTTGGTCTCACACTCACCTGTGGGCTTTTGGTTCCATTTAATTTGGGTTTTTAACTTTACAGGGTCAGTTCTGCTTCACCCCTCCTTTTGAATGGAGTTCCAGCCAGGGGATTTCACCTCTGCTCCAGTCCTGAGGCCTCCTAACCCTGATGTTGTGATACACCCCACAGAGATCTATGTTTCTTATATTATTATTATTGAAAATAATTATTATACTATTATTATGTAATAAATTTATAAGAAATTTTTAAAAAATTATGTCTGTTGTAGGGGCACCTGGGTGGCTTAGTTGTTAGGCCTCTGACTCTTGATTTCAGCTCAGGTCATGATCTCAGGGTGGTGAGAACATGGGGCTCTGCCCTCAAAGGGGAGTTTGCTGGAGATTCTCTCTTTCCCTCTCCCTCTGCCGCCCCGCCCCCACTCCAGTTGCTCACGCCATCTCTCTCTCTAAAATAAATAAATAAATCTAAAAAAAATGTATGTCTATTGTAGACAGCATGAAGTTGAATCATAGACAGTTTCTGCCTTTTGATTGGAGGGTTTATCAATTAATAATGTAATTATTGATACGGTTGATTTACACCATTTTGCTTTCTATATTCATCATGTCTTTTTTGTTCCTCCTTTTCTGCCCACCCCCGCCCCAAAACTTGCTTTTTCTAGACCTCTTACTATTGATATGATAAACATTCTAGGATAATGCTCTAGTTATCTTTTCTATTTTCTCTTTGCTTTTTTGGGGAGATTTTCTCATCTTTATTTTCTCACCTTCTGTTGAGTTTGGGTTTTTTTCCTGCGGCCATACTTTTAATTTCTAAGATTTTTTGGTGTTCTCAGAATATTTCCTTTTATGGCAATCCTGTTTTCATTTCATAGTTTGGTATCTTATTTATTTCTCCTGAGAGTATTCTTTACAGTTTGATGATGGTGGTGTGTTTTTTTCTTCTCCCTATGTAGCTTATATTTCTTTTTTTTTTACTTATTTTTAAAGATTTATTTACGAAAGAGAGAGTGCATGCACACGAGTGTGAGTGTGGGGGAGAGGGAATCTCCAGCAGACTCACTGCTGAGCCGGGAGCCCAATGCAGAGCTCAGTGCAGGGGTTAGTCTCACGACCCTGAGACCACAACCTGAGCCTACATCAAGAGTCAGATGTGTAACCGACTGAGCCACCAGGTGCCCCTCTTTTTTTTTTTAGTGTCTTGTTTGCTTTAGTCTCTTTTATTTTATAAGCTTTTCTCAGCTGTCTGTTGATCTTGATTATCTCTTTATATTTAAGAGAGGTAGATAAAAGCTCTGAGTGGAATTGTGGGCTTCACTTCAGGGTCATCTTCCTGGTCTGTTTCATTGATAATTCTCTAATGTCAGTATCTTTAGACATGATTTCCTAGAGAAGGCTCCTTCATTCTGCTTCTGGGAATGTGTAATAGGGTTGGCTACCAAAGTTCTGGAAGCTAAATAGATGATGAGGGCCTAGACTAGGTTCTGAGAATTTGGCATGCATAAACATTAATTTCATTATTGTACTCCTACCCTTACGGGTACGTCACGTCTCCCAAACCAGTGTCTGGTTCTGTTTTAGACCTTCTAGAGACTAAACTTCCAGTATTCCGCTGGGAATGGAAGGGATGATCACTTGAGTGCTCAGAATATAGGAGAAAATATGTTGGTATGATGATTTCTTGAAATCACTTTAAATCACTCACTCTGAGTACCAATTTTTTAACCTTCTCAAATTCTGCAGTATATATCAGGTTGGTTCTAGGTCAGTGCTGTCTGATAGGATTTTCTGTGATAATGGAAATGTTTTATATCTGCACTGTCTAATACAGTAGCATCTAGACATGTGGCTGTTGAGTACTTAAACATAACTGACCTCGATTTTAATTTTAATTTATTTTAAATTGAAATAGCCATATGTGGCTGTGGTTACCTTATTGGACAACACAATTCTAGACCTTTCCCATCATTGGCTTAGGATTCAGCATTCTCAGGGGAGTTTCAATTTTGTCCACCCAAACCTTGCTTAAAGTTTTTGTTTGTTTTCTCTCCCATTAGGCCTGTCCTGACGGGTTTGTGTTTTTAAAAATATACATACATCTTTACTATAGTTTTGTAGGATCTTGGGAAGGAGCAAAAGTTGATAAAAATGTTCAATCGATGTCATCTTTACTTCATATTTATCATACAAAATAGTTTCAAAGATCTTGACTGTTCTAATTCCTGTGTTTGGAATATACTCTAATTAAACTGTGGTGTCCAATTCTTTATTTCTTCATTTTAGGAATTCTGATTTTATTAACGCATTCTATCTATGATCTCTAATCTTTATTTTTTACATCCATATCAACATTGTTGATATGAGTTTTACTTTCATATGAAAATCTCTAGGTTCTTTTTGTTTTAGTTGTACAGTTTTAATTTTTTATCTCCTTAGCTTATAAAATTCATGGCTTATACTGCCATGCTATGACTTCCATAGACACTTAAATACTTAGTATCTTACTGACAAGTTAAAATTATTACCTCAGATTATACATTTCCCGAATTCCTAATGTGGGGTATATGTCTCCTTTTTAACTATATTTTTTCCTGATTAACAAATAATAAAATTAGAGAAATTTTGAAAAAGGGAAAAACACTAAAGAAAAAAAATCTCCTATAATACTGGTACCTACAACATAACTATTATTAACATTTTGAGGTACACCTTTCTCTTTACCGCTCCCCATCCCCTTGTGCAATCTATGTATTTCCCTCTTCCTTTCAGCACTCACAAATAGTCAGTGAAAGCTATTTTTTAAAACTTTTTTTTGCATAATAGTACATTGAATTTTTTTAACATTGGGGTTTTTTTTAATGCTGAAAAGAACAAAGTATGAAGTACCTTTTTTTTTTTACTTTGTTTTCTTTGACCTTTAGTATTCATTCAGCTAAAAAAGTTGAACACTCATTATGTGTTATATGCTATGCTGAGCAATACAGATGCAAGCTTGCTTAAGATAAAATTCAGCCCCTTGGTACTGGACTGGAGTTCATATTTTGGCTATAATAAATCAGAACAAGGTCATTTTCTTCAGTAAATAAATCCCCTTGGATAGAGTTTAAAATTGGCAGAATTTAAAGAATTCCACTCAGAATTGTAATCTGTTGTAGAAAGCGATGTTGTGGCATGATTTCAACCTATTCGAGAATATGTTAAAGATATAATACATCATTAAAATAGTTAATTTTCTCTATACTTGCCAAGTCAGTTCTTTAGAGCTTCATAAAGCATAAAAGTCTTGGGAGTTCAAATATAAGGAAATATTTTTTAGTAGTTGAAAAAAATTGAATTTCAGCTTTATGGAAGTATAATTGACAAAATTGTAAAAGTGTACATCCTGGTGATTTGGTAAACATATACACAGTGAAAGAATTTCCACTAATTAACACAGCCATGATCTCACATACTTATTTTCTGGTGAGAACATTTAAGTTCTACTCTAAAAATATTTTGTTTTTGTTTCCTAGGTTAAGAGCAGGATTATGTGATCGCTGTGCAGTAACTGAAGAGCACATGCGGAAAAAACAGCAAGAGTTTGAAAATATCCGGCAGCAGAATCTTAAACTAATCACAGAGCTTAGTGAGTTTCCTTTCTTCATTCATTAAGTATTTAAAGCATAATGTACTCTTGATAAAACCTATTATTAAAGTGGTTGCAATCAAATGGATTGTTTACATACATTTTTCCTCATGTAGGCAAAAGTTCAAATGTCCTTTATTCCCTCTCTGTAGATTTAACTTCTTACTTACAGTAAGAAATAGGATACAAAAAGGTGGGATGTTCACATTGGCCCTCAAGTCCCATCAGCTGTAAAGCAAGAAGGAAATTTCCTTCGATTATGTCCATATTTGCTTCTTTAGTTTATGTAATTTCATATAATTTTTATTTCATGTAATGCAACTAGTATTTAGTAAAGTTAAATACAAAGAATACAATTTAGTGTTCTACAAAAGTATATACTTTCTTTGGTTTTCATGACATACTATTACAGGTAGACCATTTTCATTGAGTCTCCTCACACATTTAATGGTGGGTTTTCTTTCATTCTTAACCTTTTCTTAACCTTTGTCTCTTCTAATACCTCTCTTAACCTTATTCTCTTTTAACTCTTCATATACTCTCTTAGTGACCTTTACCTTGATTCTCTAGAAACAGCTCACATCCAAGATCTAATTAATTTATCTTCTTTTCCAAACTAAGTCCATCTTCTATTTTTTTTCCTGTCATATTGCTATCCTCTGGTTACTCAAGCAAGAAGAAATGAGTATATCCTCATTGTTTCAAAAAGAGAAAGAATATAGTTTTATTTTGCTCCTGGAGATAATTACTATTTTTTTTTTTTTAAGATTTTATTTATTTATTTGACAGAGAGAGAGAGAGCGAGAGCAGGAACACAAGCAGGGGGAGTGGGAGAGGGAGAAGCAGGCTTCCCGCCGAGCAGGGAGCCCGATGTGGGACTCAATCCCTGGACCCTGGGATCATGACCTGAGCTGAAGGCAGCCGCTTAATGACTGAGCCACCCAGGCGCCCTGGAGATAATTACTATTAACAATCTGATAATGCATCTTTCCGGGTCCAGGCTTATCTTTCTGTCTCTTTCCTTTGTTTTATCCCTTCCTTCTCTCTCTCCTCTCTCTCTCTCTTTTTTTTTTAAGATTTTATTTTTAAGTCATTTCTATGCCCAACAGGGGGCTTGAACTCACAATCCTGAGATCAAGAGTCACATGCTCCCCTGACTGAGCCAGCCAGGTGCCCTCTCCTCTTCTCTTCTCTTCTAAATTTAATGGAATCATACCACACTTTTTTTTTTTTTTTAAGATTTTATTTATTTATTTGACAGAGAGACAGCACAAGGAGGGAGAGGGAGAGGGAGAGGGAGAAGCAGGCTCTCTGCCGAGCAGGGAGCCAGACGTGGGGCTCGATCCCAGGACCCCAGGATCATGACCTGAGCCGAAGGCAGACGCTTAACCGACTAAGCCCCCAGGCACCCCCATACCATACTTTTTGTTCTGACATGTGTTATTTCATTTTAGGCTATGTCTTAATTAAGTCTGTAGGTTCTGTGTGTATGTGTGAATGTATGCATATGTTTATTTAGGAATATAAGAACATTATCAGTGAGTAGAAAACTATTACATCTCAGTAAACATAGTTGAGATCTACAATTATATTGTTAGTATAGAAATAATCTCCAGTAATGTCTGCATACCTAATAGTCAAATTTCCAGCAACTTTCGCTATCTAAAAAATAGCCAGAATCTTCAAAGGAATAAGACATTGTTCTTTTTCATGGCTGCCTTATATTCTCTAGTGTAGATGTCATTTAGCCATTCTGCTGTTGATGGACAGCTTGATTTTTGGTGGGGGGAGGTGTTTGAGAACATGCATTCCTCTATATCTTCTTCAGCTTTGAGCAAAAATGTGTTATTTAATAATACCCAATCTGATCGATAAAGAATGATACCTTTTTTAAGTTAGCATTCTCTTAAAACTATTCAGGTTAAGTTATTTTTTTACATGATCTTCAGTTTGCATTTCTTCTTGGGTGAACAGCTTGAATATCCTTTGCTTAATTTTCAGATAGATAAAATACCTCATGACTTCATGTTTAAAATGCAAGTTCAAGACTATAGATCTGTTGTTAACCTTTTCTCTAATAACATCTCTATCTCTTTCCACACTGAGAAGCCTGGTTCTCAAAGACACAGGGATGATAGAATGAAAATATCCCCTAACTACTCATTTTTTAAATCTCATAAGCACAGTAGTCTCAGAATTGCACCATTAGTAATACTACAGGATGATTACTGTAAAGTGTTAAGAAAACTAATTTTACATTAAAATGAGCAAAAGAAAAATTGCCAAGGTCAAATCCCAAGTTATCATAAGAATAAAAACACCAGGGGCTTCATATATATGATTTTTTTCATGTTTCTGTTCATTGCTATTTTTTTTCTTCCTGCCTTTTGTTTCTTTTATGTTTTTACTTTCCCAGTTATTGAATTTTGAGGATGTCTGTCTTTTTATTTCATTTTTATCTGATACTTTACTATTTTTTTTAATTCCTTATCTTTTTGATCAACCTTGAAAACAAAATTTTTTTAAGTAGGCTCTATGCCAACATGGGGCTCTCAAACTCGTGACCCCAAGATCAAGAGTCGCTTGCTCTTTCAACTGAGCCAGCCAGGCGCCCTACAACTGTGAAATTTTACCATGCATTCCTAAAATATAAAGTTAATTTCTTGACCGTCTTCAAATAATACACAGACCTTAAAACACCTGAGCTCTGCTTACATGCTGTTTATGCCTAGCATTTCATTTCCTTTTTCTTAGCCTTCTAAGTTAGAAACTTCTTTAAAAATCCTAAGACAGTCTTTTAAAAGACTTAGCTACATGTTTTATCAGTTTCTTTGCTTTATTATTATTTTTTGCACCTCAGTTGCCTTCTGGGATTATTATCCTTTATGAGATACATCCTTTAGAAGGTATTTGTTGTTTCTAAACTAATTTTTATCCACAGATATTTTTATTTTACTTTTACTTTTCTAAGGCTATTTTGCAGGGTAACAATCATTGTTCTCTGGCTCCTACTAAGATTTTTTTCCTTTGTTTTTGTTGTTCTATAATTTTAATACAGTTTTAATCAAGTTTTTTCCCAAAAAGATTCTGTTTAGTGTATATTATAAAAATCTCTGGAACCATATCTTTAATCATATCTGGAAAACTGTCAGCTACTAGCTTCTCAAATATTGTGTCTTCTCCATTCTCTGTTTTGGGATTCTGATAAGACCTCATCATTCTGTCCTTCATATCACTTGATAATCCCTTTCCTATTTTCATCCTCTTGTTTCTCTCTGCTGCATTCTAGGTGATTTCTTCAGCTCTCGTCAGTATACTAAGTACTTCAATAGTTCTCTTGTGCTGAGTTATTTTATCTCAGTAACCAAATTTTTCATTCCTGAAAATTCTGTTTGGGTCTTGTTCAAGTCTGCCTAGTTGTCTTTTTTTTCCTTCTTTTTTTTTTTAAGTAAACTCTTTGCCCAGTGTGGGGCTCAAACTCATGACCCCAGGATCAAGAGTCGCATTCTGTTGACTGAGCCAGCCAGGCACCCCTTCTTTATTTTTTTTTTTAATAAAATGTTTTTAAAAATGCAGAAAGGTAGGGAGAATAGTAAAGAACCCTCATGCACATTGCATTTATCTTTTTTAAATCTGGAATAGTTCCCTTTCCTATCTTTTTCTTTCATGACATTGGCTTCCTTTTTTTTTTTTTTTAAGATTTATTTATTTATTTGAGAGAGAGAGCACAAGCGAGAAAGAGAGCACGGGGAGCGGGGAGGGGCAGAAGAAGAGGGAGAAGCAGACAACCCACCAAGCAGGGAGCCCAATTCAGGGCTCCATTGGGATTATGACCCAAGCCCAAGGCAGACGCTTAACTGACTGAGCCACCCAGGCGCCCTCATGACATTGGCTTCTTGAAGTAGGGTCATTTTCCTAAAATTTTGCCACCTTCTGGATTTTTTTTTTAACATTTTATCTTGTTCCTTTACTTCCTATAAAATAAATACTGGATCTGAAGGCTTGATTAGGTCTAGATTAAACATTTTTGACAGCAGTACTTCATAGCTAACACCGTCTACTTCATGTTGCATCATATCAGGAGACCAATATTATCAGGTTATTCCACTCTTAGGGATTCTAAGATTGATCACTGGGTTAAGGTGATGGCCACATTTCTTTATTAGAGAGTTATATTTTCTCCACCAAATAATCTGAGTGGGGGGATGGATATGTTTGATACTATTAAATCTTGCAAAAATTACAATTCTCTCTCAGTCTTTCTGTAATGATTTTCACATCTATTAGTGAGCCTTGCCTGAATTAATTATTTAGAGATTATAAAATGCTAAATTATCATTTCTGTTCTTTCTACATTTATTAGCTGCATTCTTCTGTAAACAGGATTTTATCCTTATCAGTCGGGACTGTTGGCTACCTTGTAATATAGTTCCTACTAGAAAGGCATGGTACATCTTAATTTTCTCCCTTTAATTGCTAGTTTTCAGAGTAAGGTCTTCTGTAATAGTTAACTGAAGTGGTGACAAATAGGTTGTGTGTGTGTGTGTGTGTGTGTGTGATGTTTCATTTTGTTTTTGATGAAAGTGGGGCTTTCTTTTTTTGAGTATAATAGACCCATAGGATTTTATATATTCAATGTGTGTTACTTAGTTATGTTCATTATTCTTATTGATGCTCAAATTATTTCAATCTTGTCTACCCATTTTTTGTAATCACTTCTAGTGTGTTCATTTTGGGCATTCCATCTTTTAAATCTTTTTTTTTTTTAAATTTTATTTATTTGAGAGAGAATGAGAGAGAGAGAGAGAGCACAAGACGGGGGAGGGTCAGAGGGAGAAGCAGACTCCCTGCTAAGCAGGGAGCCTGATGCGGGACTCGATCCCGGGACTCCAGGATCATGACCTGAGCCGAAGGCAGTTGCTCAACCAACTGAGCCACCCAGGCGCCCCTCCATCTTTTAAATCTTTAAACATTTCATTACTATATAAGATATTTCTGTTATCTGAAATACTTGGGAATCCATATAGGAGTAATTTTCTGCTGACTCTAGTGGTAAAGATGAGGTTTATTTTGGCTCCTTTCCAGGAGTTTGGGCTTAAAATGGAAATCTCAGGTTCAGTCCCTCCACCAGGGCTGATACCAGCATCTGCTTACCTACACTGCTCCGGTTTTAGCTCACAGTTTTATTTTGCTTTTGTTGATGATTGTGGTGGTGGTGTGGGAGTCCCTTGGATTTCTCTTCCTGTGAGCTCAGCAGTTTAGTAAAAATTATGTTTTTATGCAGGTTCTAGTTGTTTTATCATAAGATTATTGTTAGGATATCTAATTCATTCATCTACCCTCAAGTGTTTACTTAGTCCAGAAGGTTTTTTCTGTTTTGTTGTTGTTGTTTAGTGTCCCTCTCCATTCTCTCTGTTTCTTCTCTGGAACTCAGATTAACAAGATGACAGGTCCTCCCATTCTGTCTAATTTTTCTTTATACTTTGTAACTTTATTCTCTTATGCTGAACTCTGGGAGTCACGTAGTTATTAATTTTGTCTTCATTCACATTTAGTCTGTTTTCATCACATTTATTATGCTTTTAATGATTATGACCTTTGTTCTGTCATGGCCACCTTTTGTTTGTTTTCTTAAGATTTTATTTATTTATTTGACAGAGAGAGACACAGCGAGAGAAGGAACACAAGCAGGGGGAGTGGGAGAGGGAGAAGCAGGCTTCCCACTGACAGGGAGCCCGATGCAGGGCTCAATCGCAGGACCCTGGGATCATGACCTGAGCCGAAGGCAGACGCTTAATGACTGAGCCACCCAGGCGCCCCTTCCTGTTGCTTGTTTTTAATGAACCTATCAGCCTTTGAAATCTGAAGATGTTATCAGATATCTTTTGTTTCCTATATTAAAACTACTTATCCAGAGATTAATTTTTTTATTACTAGTTTTTAATTCCTTTTCTTTTTTAAAGATTTATTTATTTTACAGAGAGAGAGAGAGCGGGGTGGGGTGGGGGGCAGAGGAAGAGGGGAGAGAGAATCTCAAGCAGACTCCGTGCTGAGCACAGGGCTCGATCCCACGACCCTGAGATCATGACCTGAGCTGAAACCAAGAGTCGGATGCTCAACTGACTGAGCCACCCAAGAGCCCCAGTTTGTAATTCTTTTTAAAAAATCTTGTTTTTTAAGTCTTTTATGTGTTTGTTGACTCTTAATTATCTATAATTGTAGATGTCTCTAAATTGATACTTTTGTTAAATGCAACCTTATTTCCTTAGCTCGAGGAAGAATCCCTGCTTTGCTGATAGTGAATACAGGTTCTGATTTATAGGAGCCCTACTTCAATGGCAGAAGGTGGGAGAGAAGGAAACTTGACCTGAGAGATTTTTTGTAGGGTATATGGATAGTTTGTCTTCAGGCACTTACTGTAAGTTAATTGAGAGCAGCGCTGCCTGATCTCCTTGTCTCAGTATTTATTAATGGACTCCCCAGTGTTAAAACTTCTGGAAATCTATTCTCATGACATTAGCCTAAGGGCAGCTATTAGCTTTATTTGCTCATTCAGCAACTTCTGGAATTCTGCCTGTACCGGAATTAACATGACGTTCTGCTGGAAAAGCTCACTTTTTTTTAAGGCCCTTCCTTTGGTTAGATTTTACCATCAGTCTGAGCCTATCTATTTTTAAACCATTTGTGAGTTTTTCATGGTTCTGATCTGCTAGTGGCACCCATTCTGGCTTTTCAGTATTGCAGTTAACTTATTTTTAGAGTTGCTTTTTGTCATTTCCTTGGGATTTGGAGAGGAAGAGTCAGGTAAAACCATCTTCATTAGTGATTTAAGGTCATCTTTGACTTCTTTCACCCGTACAGGGGATGAATTGCCAAATAACTACTGATTCTGCCTCCAAAACAGCCCTTCTGCCTGTCCTCACTTCCTATTTCTGTACCCTCCACATTAGTCCAGATACTCATTTCTTATTTTAATGATCACCTGACTTGTCAGTGCTTTTTTTTCTCACTTTGGATGAGGCTTGGTTTTTCTCACTTTGGTATCAATTTTCCCATCATTCATCTATGAAAAATGACACCTGGTAATCTTTTAAAATGAAGTTCAGATTTCTTAACCTGGTTTTGAAGGCTTCCTACCTCTTATTATACCCAATCTTTCTTTCTAACTTTGTTCCATTAATTCTCTGCAAAGCACTCTCCATCCAGGGGGCACCTGTGTGGCTCAGTCAGTTAAGCGTCCCACTCTTCATTTCAGCTCAGGTCATGATCTCAGGGTCATGAGATGGAGTCCTGCATCGGGCTCCATGCTCAGCGGGGAATCTGCTTGAGATTCTCTCCCTCTGCCCCTCCCCTCCACTCACTCTCTCTTTCAAATAAATAAATAAATCTTAGAAAAAAACAAAAACAAAACCTCTCTGTCCGCTTCATTTGTCCTCTCTTTGATGAATCCTTTCCTCATCATCTCAAGAGCCCAAAGTAACCTTTTTCTCCTTGAATTTCCTTTAGTTCTGTACCTCTGTAATGCCCTTCTCACTTTCAATTGTATAGAACATGTTTATGTAATATCTGGTCTCTCATTAGGCTGCACTTTTTTTTGGATCACTGTCCCTATCTTAATTTCTTTAAGATCCTCCATAGGAGCTAGTTTAGTAACTTCACATATTATAGATAGCCAAAAAAATTTTATTTACTCAATGAAGGAAAATATGTTTAGTTATATAAACCACTAAATTATTAACAAATTTTTAGAATATGATTGACTTTCTTTTATAGAGATTAGTCATATTTACTGTGATCTCTTAGATATTCCTCCTGGTGAAGTACATGCTTAACCAGTGACATCATACTAACAATTTATAATAATTTTGTGCTGACTGAAGTAGAAATTGTAGCCCAAAATTGAGTTTCTGATTTCTAAATTAAATAAACACAGACAGGAAAATTTAGTCAAGGTAGATTCAAACAAATACCATTTCAGTGGATATATTTAAATTACCGATACCATAATTATGAAACAGAGTATGACTAAGGAAGAAAATTTGACTTAAATGTGCTTATGTTATAAAAATTATACTGCTATTCAGTGTTATTTTACTTTTATTATCAGATTTATTTCAAGATAAATGTCTTTTACTAAAATGGTATTTAAAATTAGTAGGACTGAGTAACAGATGGAATGCTCTTTTGACCTTAGTATGAATAATTAACTGTACTCCCCAGTATATGAGGTACTTTTTCTTTTTTGCCCACAAGCATAAAATAAAATTACCAGTTAATCAGTTACATGAACTGGCACAATATGAGATGTAGTAATCACTACCTAGTAACAGATTAGTCTTGCATAGTAACATTAACTCTGACTAACATTATGACTTAGAATTAGAAACCCTAATTTCTCCATAATTATTGATATTATTGAAAAAGCCTACCATACATGTTAATATAGCTACAATATGTGCTTCTTTTTCCTATTATGTTTAAGTGAACGAAAAGAATACTCTCCAGGAAGAAAATAAAAAGCTTTCTGAACAGCTGCAGCAGAAAATTGAGTAAGTATCTTTCCTTAATTGCAACAGAAAATTGAATATTTTCCCTCAACTTTTCTTCCTTTATTACACTTAGCTATACAAACTGAGGATATTAAGAGTTGCACGTTTCATTTTTAAAAATGGTACAGTTTTCTGCAATAATATAAAGAAAATTACTTTGTGTTTTGGGAGTATACATGAAGAGTATATATGTATCTATTAGGTTAATGTATACATAAAGAAAAAACATTTTCATGTAAAACATTTTAATTTTTATAATTTATTTGAAATATATTTTATTTTTTTAAAGATTTATTTGAGAAAAAGAGAGCATGAGCGGGGGGAGGGGGATTTGCGGGGAGCCCAAAGTGGGGCCCAGTCTCACGACCCTAAGACCATGACCTGAGCCAAAACCAAGAGTTGGACACTCAACTGACTGAGGCACCTAGGCGCCCCTGAAATACTTATATTTTAAATAAATATTTGAGTTTTGTTACCTTTTCAGCCCTGACCCAAAAGCTTCATAAAAGCAATCAATAAGTTTTTCCTCTTACATACTTTTCAGGCCTGAAGAACTTCATTTTTCTGTTCCTCTCCCCCCCCATTTCTCTTAAAGAATAAAAATAATAGGGGCGCCTGGGTGCCTCAGTCGGTTAAGTGTCTGCGTTCGGCTCAGGTCATGATCCCAGTGTCCTGGGATTGAGCCCTGCATTGGGCTTCCTGCTCGGCTGGGAGCCTGCTTCTCCCTCTCCCTCTGCCCCCACCCCCCCTGGCTTGTGATCTCTCTCTCTCTGTCAAATAAATAAAATCTTTAAAAATAATAATAATAACTTGTGTTCTATATACCTGTTACTCTTCTTTGTGCATTATGTTTATTATATCTAATCCTCACTATGATTCTTCAAGGTAGTTTTTATTACCTCTGCATTTATAGACAAGGAAGCCAGAGTTCACAAAAGTCAAATAACATGCTATCGTCTCACAGCTAGTAGGGTAATAACTCTGACCCCTATCTTTTGACTTAAAGGGTTCTGTTTTTTCCATTATTCAACAGTATCTCAAAAAAAAGGAACTGTTTTTCTGGATGTGGTCTGTCATAGAGCTGAGATATGGCCAGTTCTTAGTTCCCCTTGCTTATGAAATATTTTTTTAAGAGTTAGGATTCAGGATAGTCTTAATGGTGTCATAGAGCTCTTAAAGATTCTATTGCATTTGAGTGGACATCTACAAAAACTTTGGTAAACTATGCAGGTGTGACACATTATTATGGCTTAGAATAGTTATTGTCTTATTATGTATAAACACATCTTACAGGTGGAATTAAGATCCTTAACGGTATATACTTTTAAGCAGTGTCTATCCAATAGGATTTTGATACTCCTCCCATGTTCAGTCCACTGAATATTAGCGAAGGAAATTTTGAGGGGGGATGATAGACGAGGAAAGCAGGCTATAGGATCAGACTGAGATTATGAAAGTGTCAACTCTTTGCAGTTTTACTCCTGTTGCATGTTGAGGTAAGGCTAGAACATACATCCACAATCTCTTATATATGATTCTAAAGCCCAAAAGTTGTTTTTTTTTTTAAATGGTATTTACAACCTAACCTCACTTCAACTCACAGAATGCTATTTATATGGTCCTTATCGATCCCATCTCATGTGAGCATTCCTGTGCTTTGCTGTAAAGATGGCAATGTGCTTGACTACAGGATGATGCCTCGGGCTCCGCTGGAGCTATTATGTAATAAGCTGTATATGCTCCATGTTACTCTTCATGTTAAAAAAATCTGAATTCCGAATCACATCCGGTTCCAAAGATTTCAGATAAGTGATTGTTGACCTACATTAATTAATGTTTTGTAAAGTGATTTACATGTAGCCTATGGTATTCTGAACATCTCAGGCTTGATATTTATGAATACCGAAGATAAACAAGATAAGGAGCATGTAGAGATTGATACAGGGTTAGAGAGGTGAATGCCTCCAAAACAAGGCACATAAAAGGAATGGCAGCTGGATAATGTCATTTGCTTGGTGAAATATGAATTCGAATTCATTCAAACTAATTCTAGTTTATTTTTAGTGTTCTAAAAGTTACAGATTTTTCTGTTAAAGCTCGCTGGTATTTTAGAAAAGAAATAAAAGCTGAAGTTTGAAATTGCAATAAAGATTAACCATATAGATGTGCTTCAAAGTATGCATCTTTTATTTCAGACGTGTCTGAATCAAAACAGTGTAGGGGCTTATGTAGTGTGTCTTTAAGTTCTCTTCTAAAATTTAAGATAGTTGTTCTCATAAGCCACCTCTTTTCTAGCTTGCTCTCCTTAAACAAATTTACTTTTGCTTGGCAGTTTAAAAAAATGGCAAGTATTATCTTTTCTTTGACTACCTAAACCACTGTAACATTATGCTATTAGTGCCTGAAATTCCTCTGAACTTTAGAAAAAACATTTGACTTATATCTCTGCTTGTTAAATGCAGTAATTCTGACCTCAGCTGGTTTTGATTACAGGTAACTTATATGGTAGGACAGTTATTTAGTGACACTATAGTAAGAAATGAATTCAGAAAAAATTTGTTGTTATAAATTTTTTTAAAAACGTGTGTGTATACATATACATATATTCAACTCTGCCAGTCACAGAAAGCAATAAATAAGCTAAGTGTTGGGGTCATGGCTCTTTCTGTTTTGGGAAGTGGATGTACTGGATCAGTGAAGATCAAAGCAGTCCATACCCTCAAGGACTGTAAGATTCATTTTCACTCTTTTCCAAACTGAATTCCGTATATAACTTCTTTAACAAATAGCCATTGTTTGAACACTTCTACTATAAATTTAATCTCTCAAGCCTGTTTAATTTTAGTGAGATACTATTAGAAAGTTCTAAGTTTGTGTAGAAATCAGTCTACTTAGAGGTTATTTGTTGATCCTGATTTTGCCAACTGGGAGCATCTGGGACAAGTTCTATCCCCTCTTCTACTTCGCATTCATGAAGACAGCTGTCAGGGCCCTCCTGAGTCTTATTCTTCCTTAGGGAAATTATCCTCTGTTCTTTAACTGTTCCTCAGGAGGCATTTCTTCAAGACTTCAAAGGACCATTTCTCTTTAATGTTTTAGTTTGTCAATATCCTAATTAAGAACTCAGTATTCTAGGGGCATCTCCTGGGTGGCTCAGTCGGTTAAGCATCCAACTCTTGATTTCGGCTCAGGTCATGATCTCAGAGTCCTGAGATCGAGCCCCATGTTGGGCTCCGCACTCAGCGGAGAGTCTGCTTGAGATTCTTTCTCTCCCTCTGCACCTCCTCACCACGCACGCACTTGAGCTCACGTGTGCGCTCTCTCTTAAAAAAAAAAAAGAACTTTGTATTCTAGGTGTGGTCTGTGCCGTCTCCATTTTTCTGTATCTTTTTACTTCTATTAATGTGGTCACAGCACATAAATATTACTGGTTGTTCCTTATTGGGCTTACTGTGACTAGAACCTTGAAGTCAGAGTCTTTCCTATCCTCTACTTGTAGATATGTTGTTTTAGATAAAAATACAGGACTTCAAAAAAACAAAAAAAAACAAAAAAAAATACAGGACTTCAGAGTCATAGCTTCATAGTAGGTTGTTGAAGAAACCTTATACCATATACTCCTTCATGTTAAAAGAAGAACACTATTGATTAAATACTATTTTCTGGGCATTGAATTACATCTTTACATATATTACTTCCTTTTCACAGCTTTCCTACCAAAAAGGAAGTGGGAAATTATAGTACCATACTTTATAGATAAGGTAACTAAGGTTCAGAAAGGTTAACTCACTTACCCAATGTGACTGATAAGTGTCAGACCAAGCATTTGAACCCAGGTCTGCCTCACTTCAGAGTTTGTATACCCTTTCTTGTAGTTTCATGCTGAGGCATCCTCAAAAGCTTACCTGCCTGCATAGATGGCAGAGTTTGGATTCTGTCTCTTCTGATTCAGTTCAGTGAGGCTTATAATCTCGCATTTAACCTGTTCTATTTTGTTTGTTAGATTTGGCCCATTATTCCAACCTCTAGGGGTCTTTCATATGTTGATTTTTTCCTGCCATGTATTAGGTTAGCTTTTATTCTCAGCTTTATGTCTTCCACAAATTTGATGAATATTCCATTAGTTCCCTTCATCAAAATCATTAATAAAATGTTGAGCAAAATCAGACTGAGGATGGAGCCCTGAGGCATACTACTACATATTTCTTTCATTATCGTTCTTCAGGAGATGATATCAAGAGATATTGCATGCCTTCCTGAGAGAGCTACATATACAATAAAACATTCCTCAGAATTAAAAGTAGTCTTACTTGAATTATTCATATTATAAACTTATACAGGTTCTAAGAGGTCACTAGTTTGTATTTAGGGATCTTTTCCCCTTTTTTGGAAATCAGAATGTTTAAGTAAACTTGATGACTATAACTGCTCATTGTGTTTAAATTATGTTTTAACTGTAAGTTCTTTAGAGAAGAAAAGCTGAACTTTAAAAACTTTTTTGTAGATTCTTTACAGAGGGAGACCCTGGATCTTTATAGGTCTTGAGAAAAAACAACTAAAGTTGTTTTGAAAGGAATTTAAGGGAAGGCCAACAAATAAAACACACAATCAAAAAAATTTTACTTTTGTGCTGTTAGAAAAGTAGAAGAAAGTTGACCAGTGTGCATAATTAACTAAAGCTACAGCATGAACTTTTAATGTTTCTGAAAAATCAGGGAGACCCAATGCTTTATAGAAGAGACTTGGTTCAATACATGGAAGTTGTTTTGGGTTTTTTTTTTCCCTTTTATGACAAAAGCCAATACTTGTTTACTTATGGTGGGTTTTGTTTTTGTTTTGTTTTCCTTTTGTGATCCCCACTACTCTGCCAGGAAATCAATTTCTTGTGACTCATTCATGTTCCAGGTTGAATTTTCATGACTAATAGGCAGATAACCTGTGACGTTATTAGTTAAAGCAAGGTCAGATAGATTTCACACTCCATTAATTTATAAGGCTTTCTCAGATGACCTTAGCTTACTCTGTTTTTACAGAATAAGACAGTTAAAAGTAGATATTAACTCTATAGATTTTCCTCAGTATAGAATATAGGATTATAGGCTACAAGTAATGTTGATATTATCCAGGAAATTAAGATATAAATCTGTGTTAGGAAAAATTAATCTTGTAATTTTTTTTAAATCTCTGTTGGTCATAGTTTATAAAATTCTCATTGCTTTGTGTTTGGAAATAGTATTACAGATTGATAATGAGTATAATAGATAGACTGGTTTTATCACATAAAGCCTTAAATGCCTGACAGACTGGTAAGAATTGGCCAATAAGGTCAGTAATCATTTCACATGGGAAAGTCAATTGAGTTCAAGTTAATTAACTATTTACTCGATAACCACAATTCAGTCCAAACCCAGTCTTTAGGTGCCATTGGTCTTGAATTGAGTTGGGCAAAAATATATGCCTGAAATCACAAATTTATTTTTCTAATGGAATCTGGGAATCTCTCATATTCATTCATTCAACAAATATTTATTGAGCATGTACCAAGTGCCTTCTATTGTAGGCACTTGATGCATCAATCAACCAGATTCTTTATCGTCTTAGAGCTTACATTCTGGCAGGTGAGCAATAGATAAATCAATTATATTCTATGTTTGAAAGCCATAAATACTGTAGATAAAGTAAACAGAGCAGAATAACAAGGAACAGGAGTACCTAAGGTATGGGAAGTAGGTTACAATCTTTTTTTTTTTTTTTTAAGATTTTATGTATTTTAGAGAGAGCATGAGGAAGAGGGGCAGAGGGAGAGAATCTCAAGCTGTGCTGAGCACAGAGCCAACGCGGGGCTCAATCTCACAACCCTGAGATCATAACCTGAGCCAAAACCAAGAGTCCAGTGCTCAACCAACTGAGCCACCCAGGCACTCCAGGAGGTCACAATTTTAAATAGCATGTTCAAGGTAGGCACTGATGAGAAAGTAAAACTTCAGCCAGGACTTGAAGGAAATGAGATAGCTAAGTGATATCTGGGGATGAGCATTCCAAGCAGATGGAAGAGCTAGAGCAAGGAACCTAAGGCAGGCTTCCTTCAGGAAGCGAGAGTGAGTGGAGTAGAGTATAATAAAAAAAATAGATCAGAGAGGTAATAGGGGGAGGGGGACAATTAGATCATTTAAAAGACTTTGGCTTGTGTTTTCAGTGAAATGGGGAGATATGGCAGGTTTTAATCAGTGGTGTGACACAATATGACTAAAGTTGTAGTAGAACTTTTCTGACTATAGGTTAAGAGTAGATTGTAAGGGGGCCTGGGTAGAAGCAGTGGTGGAAACTCAAAGTGTGAATCCTACTTGTAGTCGGTTATTAGTCTCATGTCTATACTAAGGATAACACATTGAGTGCTTCTCAGTACTGTCCTGGGAATCTGGCTGCTGGGATTTAGATCCTGCTTCTGTTACTTATTTTTTAGAAAGAGGCTTAACTTCCATATCTTCATTTTCTCATTTGTAAAATGAGAGTGATATTAATAGCACATACAGTTGTTATAATTAGACTGATGCATGTAGGACTTCGTGCCTAGCAATATAAACCTCCAACAAATGTTGGTAGTTATCAGTGTTAGTATTATTCATCATCCTGTATTTGTCATTTGCCAAGTCATGTTGATTCAACTACCACAGTATTTAACATTGGCCCCTTTCTTTCCATAGCTATTTTCAACATTCTAATTCAAACCCACAGAAACTCTTGCCTGGACCATGGTAGCCACTGCCGAATTGATTCCTTGCCTCCTTTCTTTCTGTCCCAGTCCATGTTGCAGTCTTGCTGCTCGATTGTCACATTACTTCTGTGCTCTAAAACCTTAATTAACTCTTTTCCTCTTGCTTTCCAAATTATGCACACTTTTATTTTTTTATTTTTTATTTTTTTTTAAAGATTTTATTTATTTATTCATGAGAGACAGAGGGAGAGAGACAGAGAGAGAAGCAGAGGGAGAAGCAGGCTCCCAAGGAGCAGGGAGCCCGATGCGGGACTCAATCCCAGGACCCTGGATCGTGACCTGAGCCGAAGGCAGACGCTTAACCCTCTGAGCCACCCAGGCGCCCTATGCACACTTTTAATCAAGGCTGTTGTTCATGTAGTTCCGGCTTGCCCTTCTCTAACACCAGGTGCAGAGTATTGGATGCCTTTTATTCAAATGTGTGGATCCTCTGCTCATTTTCTCTGCCATTTGAAGTTCTTTTCATTTCACCTCAAGGTACCCCAACTACACTTTGTACTTCACTTCTCACAAGAGTATTCCCCGCTTGGTACTCTAATCATTTGAATACTTCTCTAATCCTTGTATTAATTAAATGCAAGGAATTCGGTGCACCTGGGTGGCTCAGTTAAGCGTCTGCCTTCAGCTCAGGTCATGATCCCAGGGCCCTGGGACTGAGCCCTGCAATGGGCTCTCTGCTCGGTAGGGAACCTGCTTCTCCCTCTCCCACTCCCCCTGTTTGTATTCCCTCTCTCGCTGTCTCTCTCTCTGTCAAATAAGTAAATAAAATCTTAAAAAAAAAATGCAAGGAATTACATCTTTTACAACCTGTGTTCTTTTGTAAGTCCATACTAGGGATGTTTTAATAAATATTTGTTGAATTAATTTTCTTTCGTCATTATTTTCCTCTAGAAATGATCAGCAGCACCAAGTGGCAGATCTTGACTCTGAGGAAAATGTTATTCCAGATTCACCAATAACAGCCTTTTCATTTTCTGGCATTAATCGGCTACGAAGAAAGGAGAACCTCCATGTCCGATACATAGAACAAGCACATGCTAAACTAGAGCAGTCCGTGTGTACAAATGGTAAGGATTGGAGTTTTATTTTAGTTATCTGTTTTTGTATAAAAAAGTTTTCTGCTATGGTGAGTTTTTCTGTTCTTCCATCTAGTAGAGGGAAGATAGCCATTGTTAGGGAACTTACATCATAACTGTAAGTTTAAGTTCCATCAGTGAGGTGACTGGGAAGGCATTTTCTGCCTATGTTGTGTATAGGCATGCATGCATTATCTGAATATATAAATGCCCAGCATTTTATAAATGCAGTTTATAGGTTTTTCTCCTTTTATTTAATTCCTATGTCTGTATCTGAGTGGGATTAGAAGGAAAAAGGGAAAGGAACTTAATGTTAATTTTCACCTATTGTGTGCCAGGTAATACACTGAGTGATTCAAGTGCATTATTACCAAGTTTTAATTCTTCTGCCAATCTTGGAAGGTAGCTGTCAGTATCTTCATTTTATTTATTTATTTATTTATTTATTTTTTTCCTAGGCAAAGAACTTGATTAACCTTGTTTCAAACTTTATTCCCAGGCTTCTTCAGCTTAATTAGCTGCAAAGAATGAATTGTGTATAAGCAAAAACTGAAAAGAGCTGCAGTGTCCAAGGGGCTTGGGCTTAAAAATATTAGAGATCTAGATTTTATCAGATCCATGAACAAAATTTTAAAAAGCAGTCGTAATATAAAATAGCAACTCCCAGTAACTTCTTCGAGTTTTATGTTCTTCAGAAGTTGACTCAATTCAGTTTGCTTCATTCTTGGAAGCTTCATCAAAATTCACCACAAGATCTGGAACTTCATCATCATCCTCCTCTCTGGTAGCAAGTGGTGCTTTTCCATCCACAGATTGTTTGGGCAGAGCTTCAGCCAGTCTTCTTAAACTAGTCAGACTGTCTGCACCAAGTTGGCTTAAGATACTGGGTAGCATTTCTGTCAGCTGCTTTGTCTCAGCATAGCCTGTAATGGTGAAAGTGTTCGCTGCCAGTGATGCCTGAACTTTGGGGTTGTTAAAATGGATCACTGTTCCTTAGTTTGTGAACATATTCACTTCTTCAATACCAGAGATATTGTTTACCCCTAACTTCTTTAAGGAGAACTGAAGTTTTTTATCATCTGCTGTAGCCGTTCTATGAACCACCTTCTTCTTTCGGCAAGCAGTTCCTTTCCCACCAATGCGCACTTGTGCTTGCAGTTTGGCGAGTTTCTCCTGGTTCATGATAGTTTCTTTCATCTTGTTGGAGTGGAAATGGGACCGCGCGGGGGAATAGGGTTGGCGCTCAGGGGGTCTCGGGCGGACCAGCTGAGATTAGGTGCACACACGCGGGGACGCAAGATGGCAGCTAAAGGAGTATCTTCAGTTTATAATGAAGAAAGGTTTGCTCTTTGGAGGGGTTAAATAACTGACTCAGGGTCACCTGTCAAGTAAGTAGATGAGTCAGAATTCTAATACAGATCACCCTGGAGCTAAATTTTTATACTGTCCATGTCTTACCACAGCTACTCCTACCAGTAGCTTTAACTGGCTGTTTTTGTTTTAACTTGTAGCAATTGATGATAACCAAGAAATGGCTTTATAAAGTATCTTTGTGGCTTACCAGTGGCATATTTCTACTTCCAAGCCCACTTACCATTTCTGCTAAATACTTTGGAACTGCCTTTGCATATAGCCCTGAAATTTATCATGTGATGTGATACAATGATTATTTCTTTTAATACTGATACGAAATAAATGGTAAAGACTTTAATTTTTAACCTAAATTGTTTGTAACAAGGAAAACATTGGAGGGAAGGGGTGTGCATATTTCTAGAGATAATTTAATAATATAAATAAACTTTTGACAGTAGCTATGCCTTTAAAATAATAAGTAGATCTTATTCTTTGATATTGGAAAATTAGCAGGTTTTTTTTTCCATTTTATATGAACTTGCATCACCCTCTAGTGGAAAACAAAAGAACTGTTACAAATCTTACTTTTAATTAGGAACTAAAGTAAAATGTGAGCTCTTGAATCTTAAAATGAACATTCTTTGGCCTTTTAGTCTGCTATCTGACAGAATCACTATCTGCTATCACTGACAGATAAGCCTCTACATATTGGATCATGTTTAAATCCATCTGTCAGAATACCTAAAAAAACAAATCACAGCAGTTTTCTTTATTAGGAAAGTCTTTTTTTGTATCTTGTATAAATGTGGTTTATTTCTTCATCATATGAGAATAACCTGTAACTGTTTTAAAACTTGTCTGTTTTAGTCTTGCTCTGATCATTTTTACTTGGAATCTAAAATTTTGGTTATAAAATATAAGATCGTTTTTGAGCCATGCAAATTATTTTAAAACTTATTTAAGGACTACTTGGTCGTCTTCCCTTTCTAACTACCCTTGCTTATTTTAGAGTTTATAGTGCATTATAGTATTTTCTAGTTAAAATTAATAAAAGTCTATTTCCCTTTACTTTGTCCTTCTTTTGGTTTTCTTTAAATTAAATCCTTAAACATTGGAATGGTTTCTAGTAAGCATGTTTTGGTATTTCCTTCCAGAAAATAAAAACTCTAAAAACAAAGATTGTTGAGATATATGATGCCATATTCATTTTAAATGAGCCTACTGATTTGCAACAAATACACAAGGAAAAGATGTGTTAAAATATTAGAACTCTAGGGTACTTAGGTCAGAAGAAGCTTATCTATTCTAGTTCTTTCCCACAGTCCTAACTTCCAGCTTTGTTTCTTAGTGAAACTAAAAGAATGAACTTTTAGAATATGAAGATTTTATCAGTAAAATAACACTTCTAATGCACTTAAAGACAAGTTTGGTTTATTGCATATTTTGGTATTTTGTATCATAATTGTTTGTTTATATTTAATCTCTTTTCTCCCCTTAGAACTGAGAAAAGTTCCAAAGTCTTCAAATCATCCACAACATAAACCTAATGAAAGTGAAATTCTAGTGGCTGACACTTGTGATCAGAGTCAATCCCCAGTGGCTAGTAAGCAACATACTGAGATTTACTTTATAAGTTTAAAATTTGTGGTTACTTGTGGGCAAGAGTGGCCAACAGTCTGAATTAAGCAGTATTTTCCATATGATTTTGTTTGTATTATTGGTAAATAGCAGTCTTTTTCATATTGGAAAGTCATGTTATCCTATTATTCATAGTAATATTCCTATCCATATTAATACACATTGCTAATAATGTTAAGTAAACAAGCTTTCCTGTGCTTTATTCATTCATCCAACAGATACTTGAGTGCCTACTGTATACCAGGCACTGAACAAAACAAAGCCTTAACCTCATAGAGCTTACAATCTAGTTGAGGGAGAAAGAAAATAATACATATTAGGTAGAAGCAAGTATTCTAAAGAATAATGCTGAGTCCTGGGATTGAGTCCCGCATCGGGCTCCCTGCTCAGCTTCTCCCTCCACCCTTACCCCCCTGCTCGTGATCTCTCTCTCACTCCCTCGCTCTCTCTCAAATAAATAAAATCTTTTAAAAAAAAGAGATACTAGAAAGCCTCACTTTAGAAAGTGACACTTGAGAGATGTAGGGAAGCAAGGGAGTCATGTGGATATGGGGAACCTCACCCCAGGTAGAGAAGTCAGAGCACAAAGGCCTTGGGACCAGGGTGTTGTTTGGTTCTTTATGAGGAACATTAAGGAAGCCTCTGTGGCTAGGGCCGAGTGAGTGAAGGGGAGATTGGTTTGGGCAACTGTTCTTTAGAGCTGCTGTTTACCAAAAGGAAAGAGACTAGGAGCGTCAGGTTTACAGAATGGGAGGTGGGGATAGGGGTGGTTAGAAATCAGAAGTTTGGTTTTGAGAATATTCCGAGGTGCTACATAGACATTCAAATAAGATTTTGGATGAATAATTGGATGTGAGTTTAGAAAGGTCTGAGATAGAGATATGAATAGAAATTGTTAGCGTGTGGGTGGTATTAAAGCCAGAAAACTAGATGAGATTACCAAGCAAGTGAATGTAGATAGAGAAGAGAAGTTGGTGCTTCGTTATATAAAATAGTCATTCTCAGCTATTTTTCTTACCCCCACCCTAGCCTTTGTAGACATTTTTTTCCCTAACCACTTTTCCGTGGAATTTCACTACTACAGATATACCGTATGAGTATATGTATATAAATGCTTTATCCATAAAAAGATTGTTTTGCCTTCAGGACCATTTTTCACCTCCTTAAAGGTGATATTACAGCTCTCTAGATGGTGATTTAGAGGTTGTGAAAATGAGGAGGAACCAACAAAGTGAGCTGCCAGTGAGATAGAAGAACTGAGATGGGGCGCCTGGGTGGCTCGTCCAGCTCTTGATTTCGGCTCAGGTCATGATCTTGGGGTCTTGGGATCGAGCCCCTCATCAGGCTCTGTGCTCAGCAAGGAATCTGCTTCTCTCCTTCTCCCTCTCCCTCTGTTCTCTGTTTCTGTCTCTCTCTCAAATAAATAAATACATCTTTAAAAAAAAAAACTGAGATAAAGTAGTGTCCTTTGAGCCATGTGGAGAGAGGAGGGAGTGGTCAACTGTGGCAGACAGTGCTAATAGGTCAGGGAGGATGAAGACTGAAAATTGACCGTTGGATTTGGTCACATGCAGATCACTGAGTGTTAAAACTTGTAACACGAATTGTTAAAAGTGTAATGGTATTCAGCTAGACTGTTGCATGTCAAGAGAAGCTAGCAGAGTAAGCAGAGAGAACACTTGTAAACAGGACCTTCAAGGTGTTTTATGGTAGAGGGGACGGGAGAATGGGACAGTAGCTATAAAATGGGTCAAGTGAGGATGTTAAAAGATGGAATATTATAGCATATGCAGCATGTTTTTTTAATTTATTTATTTGAGAGAGAGAGAGCAAGCTGGGGGTGGGGGAAGGAGCAGAGGGAGAGGGACAAGCAGACTCCACTCAGCTAGGGACCAGACACAGGGCTCGATCCCAGGACTCTGAGATCATGACCTGAGCTGAAACCAAGAGGCGGACGGTCAACAAACTGAGCCACCTGGGCGCCCCTGTGCAGCATATTTTTATGTTGGTGGAATGGTCAAGTACAGAGAGAGAAATGAATAATTCTAAGGAAAGAGAGGGAACAGTTACTACATCCGTGAAAAGGTGAGAGGAGATGGTTGGTCAAGGTTAATCACATTCATTTAATGTGAGTACAAAACTTATTCTCTAAAAGCTAATAAGTCATTTCATATTTGTGTGTGAGACAGGGAGTATGTGTCCATGTGTATAGACAGACTGTCTGGCAAAGGGTCCTGGGGACATAACACTGAGTGTGGCAGATCCTTATTTGTCTACACTCTGGAGCCCTTTCTCGTCTGCTGCTGCCAGGACTTTGCTCCCTCAGTTGTCCTCCTTTCTTATATCTCCACCTTCTCTGCATGTTTGTTCTTTTCAATATATGCATATGTTACCTTCTATCTTTTAAAAATAACCCCTCTCCTTTTTTTTTTTAAAAGATTTTATTTATTTATTTGACAGAAACACAGCAAGAGAGGGAACACAAGCAGGGGGAGTGGGAGAGGGAGAAGCAGGCTTCCTGTGGAGCAGGGAGCTCGATGCGGGGCTCGATCCCAGGACCCCGGGATCATGACCTGAGGCTGAAGGCAGCTGCTTAATGACTGAGCCACCCAGGTGCCCCAAAATAACCCCTCAATTGTCTCCATCCTTAGCTGCAGCTTCTGTTCAAAGCTGAAAAAGTGGTCTGTGTTCTGTATTATCTCCCAGTCATTCCAGTTGAATCCAGTAGGGGAAGGATTGCACTCTTCACCTCTCTATACCCCAGGGAGAGAAAGAGAGAGCGAGAGATCCCTCACTGGCCTATCTGGGCTTATGTCCTACTATAGTTACATCTTTTGCATTTTGATTTCCAGCAATTCACGTATCTGAACCCTTACACATGCTTAGAGTCCTTCCCTCTGTCCCTGGGCCAGGTGACCTGTCCAGATCCTCTTGTTCTCAAGGGGTCAGCTTAGGCATCACTGGCTATAGCTTTCCCTGATAACCCAAGGCAGATTTAGGAGTTCTTCCTCTCTGTTTAAATCACTCCTTATGTACCTTTAATGTTTATCACATTTTATTGCAATTCTCTTTTTTACCTTTCTGTTTCACCTGTATCAGCCCTTAAACTCTTTGAGGACAAGAACTTTTTTTCTTTTCATCTAGTGCCTAGCACAATGCCTAGAACTTAATATGTGCCCCATAAATACCTGTTGATTTGTTGAAACTCTGTACACATAAAACTTTGTAAAATACTTGAACGCAGGTGATTTCTGTATATATGTTTTAGCTTTAATCTTGAAAATTATGCAGTGCTGAAACTCTCTCCCACAAAGTATGTTTTCATGAAAGATACTATAAATATGGTTTTATATTCATGCCATATCTTAAACTACAAGAATCCATCACAATTATATATGATTTTTTAGGGTTTTTATTCAGTGGCAATAAGAAAAATAATCTGCCCATTGCATTCCATTCATTTAGGAAAAATAGAAAATCTTAGCTGAAAAAATTTGGCAAATGTAAATGATAGATACCTGCAGTTTATTGCCATTTATGATAGATATTTTGGACTTTTTTGCACAGAATTTTAAAATTGTCCAGTACCATCGATAAAGTAGTTCTTTGAGCCTCTTTTTTTCCTTTTTTGTATTTTTCAATATATCTCATTTCTGCAGTTACATAATTGTGGGGTTTTTTTTTTTTTCTTATTTAGAAACACATGGAACAAGCAGTTGTCCTACCGATAAGTCATCTTTTAATTTAGCTACAGTTGTTGCTGAAACACTTGGATTTAGTGTTCAAGAAGGATCTGTAAGTAATTGTTTAGTTTGGTGATAATATGAATTAATTGGTGTCCTTTTAGGTCAGTTGTTAGAGAATTGAGCAAGAGAAAAGTTATTTTATCCAAGGATCAAGGGATAAAGGCCTAGAACAAAATTGATATGGTTAGAAGGGCCCATTTATATTATCTGCCCCAGCATCCCAAAAACCTGAAGTCTTTAGAATTCTTCGTATTATAGGTTGTGGGTTGAATCAAAATTTAGGGAAGTGATGATGGCGTGGAGGGTTTGACCAACCCTTCCCTGCTTCCTGTATCCTCCCTACCCCTACCTTGTTTTCTCTTACTGAAGACTTAAACTTTAAGGTTGGTGTCAGAATTTATTGGAATTTTTCAGTAGCCTTTAAACTGGGGTTTGTTTTGGAAAACAGGCTGAATTCTTGGCACTGCTGTAGATGCTTTAGTTTTTTGTCCTTATATGTGCAATCTCATTCTTAGGGATTGGGTCAGAAATTGATCCCATGAATTTCTTTTCATTTTTTTAGTACTTCCTTACATCAGGCACATTCACTTTTTTTCCTTAAGTGATCCCTAAAAATAGAAAACTTACTCTTCAATTTTAAGTTTTATTTTGATGCAACTTTAAAATAGTATTCCTTTGCTTCAGTCAGTAAATGTATATTTGCTCTTAGAAAATTGTCTTACTGTTAAATTCTTAAAAATTGAATTGATTTTTCATTATGTTTGGATTTTGTTTTTGTTCTTTCTAGTTTTAAATCACTCTTCAAGTGGTAGTGGGTAGTTTTTAACCTTTGAACTTCAAATGTGTTTTAATGATTTCTAATGCCCTCCTACCCATAAACCTGACAAGTAAGTAGTTTATATATTAAATATATTAAGGGAGCTAATCTCTCAAGACATGCTGCTCAAGGTGTGATCCATAGGCCAGCAGCATCTGGGTCACCTTAAAGTTTTGTTAGAGAATCTCAGACCCCACTCCAAACCTACTGCAAGAGAACTTGTGTTTTCACAAGATCCCCGGTTGACTTGAATGCATCTTAAAGTTTGAGAAGCACTGCTCTCTTTTAAATTCATCTCCTATCAGCATAAATAACTATCTTTATTCCTTTTGCCTCATCTTAATGTGTTTTGGAATTGAAGTTGATGGAGTTTTACATACCAGTAGTAGAATGTACTTATGTAGAATAGTAAAACATTGATGGCTTTCTCTCTTTAAACTTAAAAGTACTTCATATTTTTTTTTTATCGTGGTGAAATGCACATAACATAAAATTAACCATTTTAAAGTCTACAGTTCATGGCATTTAATACATTTACAGTATTGTGCAGCTACCACCTCTCTGGTTCCAAAGCATTCTCATCACCCCAAAATAAAACTGGTACCTGTTAAACATTCAATTCTCATTCCCTACTACCCACAGCCCCTGGCAACCACCAGTCTGCTTTTTATCCTTAAAGATCTACCTATTCTGGATAATTCATTTAAATGGAATCCTACATTATGTGGCTTTTGAGTCTGGCTTCTTTCACGTAGTCTTTTTTGGGGTTCATCCACATCACAGCATATATCAACATTTCATTCCTCTTTAAGAATGAATAATCTTTCATTGTATCTATGTACTTTATATTTTACTATTGAAGGAATCTCAGGGTCCCACGAGCCCTCTAGGTGATGAATTCTATCAATGTCTAGAAGATCACAAGAAACAACCTTTTGAGGAATCTATAAGAAACAATGAAGACAGTTTAAGGTAATTTGGGGCACTTTGGTAAAAAACTTAAGACTATTGGTGAGATCTCATTTCAGTGAGTTCTATATAATCAAACTGTTTCTGTCAGCATATAGTTTGTCATTCTGGTTGTATTTATTTATTTATTTATTTATTTTTACGCAGGCTCCATGCCCATCGTGGGGCTTAAACTCAGGACCCTGAGATCAAGAGTTACGTGCTCTACCAACTGAGCCAGCCAAGAACCTGTGTTAATTTTTATTTTAAAAAATATTTTTCCCATGAGGTGCCTGGGTAGCGAAATCAGTTAAGCGTCCTACTCTTGATTTCAGCTCATATCATGATCTCAGGGTCATGAGATTGAGCCCCAAGTCAGGCTCCATGCTCAGAAGGGAGTCTGCTGGAGATTCTCTCTCTCTCTCAAATAAATAAATCTTTTAAAAAGACATGTGTTCCCCACTTTATGATGAATTGAGGGCCTTTTGCATTACTATGGAGAGAGATTATTTTTTAGGTGCTTTCTGTACTTCTATCAAGCATTATTTAAGAGTTTCCAGCCTTGTTCCTCTGCTTCTATAAAGACCCAGTCTCTGTTTGTTTTTCCAAAAACTAGATGTTATATAAAATGCATCTATAAGCTTCGATGAATTTTCAAGATTGTGTTGCATCTCATTTACTAATTTCAGAACATCCACTAATAATACCTATATTTATGTATTGTCTTGCTTTTTTTTAAAAGTGCTTTTCGTTTTATGGGCGCCTGGGTGGCTCAGTTGGTTAAGCAACTGCCTTCGGCTCAGGTCATGATCCTGGAGTCCCGGGATCGAGTCCCACATCGGGCTTCCTGCTCGGCAGGGGGTCTGCTTCTCCCTCTGACCCTCTTCCCTCTCATGCTCTCTATCTCTCATTCTCTCTCTTTCAAATAAATAAATAAAAAATAAAATCTTTTAAAAAAAATAAAAAAGGGGCACCTGGGTGGCTCAGTCGTTAAGCGTCTGCCTTTGGCTCAGGTCATGATCCTGGGGTCCTGGGATCGAGGCCCGCATCGGGCTCGCTGCTCGGCAGGGAGCCTGCTTCTCCCTCTCCCACTCCCCCTGCTTGTGTTCCCTCTCTCGCTCTCTCTCTCTCTGTCAATTAAATAAATAAATAAAATCTTAAAAAGAAATAAAAATAAAAATAAAAAAAATAAAAGTGCTTTTAGTTTTAGATGCATATATCATATTTAATTTGTCATCAAAGTAATTCATTAAAGTAGATTTTATTACTCCTATTTAGTCGACAAAAATGCAGCTCTACAGAGATTAAATGCCTTATTTACCACCACATAGCCCTTAAGGACTAGAGCCGGAGCTCTTACCCATTCCACATCTTCAAACTTAAACCTAATACTCTTTCTACTATCACAGCTGTCTGCTCTGCTACAGGCAGGCTGGCTCTTAAGTTATGTTCAATTCTGTAGTAGAAGGATTTTGTTTCTTGAAGTTACTTATGAAGAGATTTCATATTAACAAAAGAATTTGGGTCTCCAGTGGAATTTATTAAAATACGATTTTCTTATATTAGTGAAGTTGTTTAAATTACTTAAGGAAAAATATTTATGGATAGGAATATCAAGGTATTGAGATAGATTTACTGTATCATTTTCCTCTGCTTTTTGTCAGCCAAATGAAGAAAAGCAGACACCTCTACCCTATTTCAAATGTCGGTTAATCATCTGAGTCTAATACATGTTGGTTAATCATCTGAGTCTAATACATGGCTAAAACCCTTACTATTAATAATTCTATATTAGTGTAAGTTTTCTCATATGCTTGTCTTACAATTTTTACCCTATTTCTTTAGTAGGAAGAAAGTTTTACCACTCCTTATTTTTTTTAGATTTTCAGATTCTAAATCAAAGACTCCTTCTCAAGAGGAATTGACTACTCGGGTATCTTCTCCTGTATTTGGGGCTACCTCTAATGTGAAACGTAGTTTAGGTTTGAATACAAGTTTGTCCCCTTCTCTCTTAGAGACTGGGAAAAAACTTCTGAAAACAGCACCCTTCAACAACATTTCTACTTCTAGATCAGAGAAAACTAGATCAAAATCTGAAGATAGTGCCCTTTTCACACATCATAATCTTGGGTCTGAAGTGAACAAGATCATTAGCCAGTCATCTTCAAATAAGCAGATGCTTATCAATAAAAATATAAGTGAATCCAAAAATGAACAGGATGGTTTTGATCACATTAAAGATGCTGTCACTGATAAAGACAAACATGCGGTACCCCTGAAATCGCTGGGAGGCAGAACATCCAAAAGAAAGAAAATTGAGGAAGAAACTGAAGATGAAGTTAGCTGCCCCCAAGCCTCTTTTGATAAAGAAAATGCCTTTCCTTTTCTACTGGATGGTCATTCTTCTGTGAATGGAGACTATGTGATGGATAAACCTCTAGATCTGTCTGATCGATTTTCGGCTATTCAGCGTCAAGAGAAAAGCCAGGGAAGTGAGACTTCTAAAATCAGATTTAGGCAAGTGACTCTCTTTGAGGCCTTGAAGCCCATTCCAAAGGGCTCTTCCTCAAGCCGCAAGGCCTTGAGCGGGAGCAGTGTGTTAACCAGAGATTCCCCAGAGGAGCCCTGTTTACAGGAGTGCATCCTCCAGTCCTTGGGTAAATCATCTCCAGATAATAAAACACCATTACAAATCAAGGAAGAAAATCCCATCTTTAAAATCCCTCTACGTCCACGTGAAAGTTTGGAGACCGAGAATCTTTTCGATGATATGAAGGTTTGTGTTAAATGTTCAAGTATTTTTATTAAAATGGTTGTTCATTATTTCATCTAGATGCTAATAATTCTTTCTGTTTAAGGGAACTGATTCTCATGAGCCAGTAAAAATAGCCAGGTCAGTCCGTGGAGCATGTGAACTTACATCCGTTCTTCAGTTAAATCCATGTAGAGTTGCTAAAACAAAGTCTGTACAAAACAGTCAAGGTATGTTCACTATAGATAGTATTTCCACTCTTTTTTAATGATCTCGAGTGTTGTACAATATACATTCTTTGAATATACTGAATTGTTTTAGGAAAAACATTTCTTCCTGCATATTTCTGTGCTTAAGGGATGATTCTCACTGGTTTCATTTTGCATGTGATTTTCTTGCTCTCATGCTTTTTGAAAAAATGAATTGAGGTCTTTAATACCTACTTTTTAGGTGATTTTGTGGATTTACCTATTTTCTGTAATTTCTTATTTTCTTTACAAAAGCTTTACAAATTTTAAACTATGTGGAGTTTTAAAATACATAAAGTAAAATTTTCATCATCCAAACCTTGTTCCTCACCCCACAGGTAGCCTGTCCTTTTTCTTTGCCTTTACATGTATATGTATAAACATATGTATATATACATTTCCGTGGGTTTTTAACTTCTTGTTTGAAAACCTTTTTTACTCTTAATTAATAGGTATGTTAATCTTTTCATAATTTTGCTGTGTTTGAGTCTTTTTGTTTTTTTGGCCACCAAATATTTCTGTACTTCCTATGTAGTATTTTTTTTATTCTTTGTTGCAAAGTTTTTCCTTTATTCTGGGTTTATTTTCCTTTTCTTCCTGAAGCACATTCTTTAGTGTTCTTCTAGAAGGCAAGAGTTTCAGTCTCTGTATGAAAACACTTTCTTCACTCTCATTTCTGATTTTTTTTTACACTTTTGGTTTTGGGCTTTTTTTTTTCTCATGGCTGCTCTAGGGATTATAAACCCTACTTAACCTTTCACAATTTACTTAAAGTTAATATTATGCCACTTTGTGTTCTTTGTGCTTTATGTAGTTGTCATGCATGTCCACGTACATTGAAAACTCCTTCAAACAATGTTACAATTTTAACTTTTAAAACAATTTTTGAGGGGTGCCCGGGTGGCTCAGTCGTTGTCTGCCTTCGGCTCAGGTCATGATTCCAGAGTCCTGGGATCGAGCCCCACATCGGGCTCCCTGCTCGGCAGGGAGCCTGCTTCTCCCTCTCCCACTCCCCATGCTTGTGTTTCTCTCTCGCTGTGTCTCTCTCTCTCAAATAAATAAATAAAATCTTAAAAAAGATTTTTGATATAAAAATCACTCATTAAAGTGTACAAGTCAGTTGTTTTGTATACTCAGAGAGTTGTACAACCATTACTGTAGTCTGAGTTTAGAACGTTTTTATCGCCTCAGAATAGTACCCATTAAGTTAATATCCAAAATATGTGAAGAACTTACACAACTCAATACCAAAAACACAAATAATTCAATTTAAAAATGGGCAGAGGACCTGAACAGAAATTTTTTCAAAGAAGACATACGGATTGCCAACACACATGAAAAGATATTCCACATCACTAATCATCAGGGAAATAGAAATTAAAACCACAATGAGATGTCACTTTATACTTGTCAGAATGGCTAAAAGCAAAAACGCAAGAAATAACAAATTATGACAGATGTAGAGAAAAACAAAGCCTCATGCACCATTGGTGAGAATGCAAATTGGTACTGCTACTGTGGAAAACAGTGTAGAGGTTCCTCAAATAATTAAAAATAAAATTACCATATGATATAATTCCACTACTGGGTATTTACCCAAAGGAAATGAAAATACTAATTCAAAAAGATATATGGACCCCTATGTTTATAGCAGCATTATTTACAATAGCCAAGATATGAAAGCAACCCAAGTGTCCATAGATAAATGAATGGATTTAAAAAAGATATGGTTATGTATATACAGTGGAATATTACTCAGCCATAAAAAAGAATGAAATCTTGCCATTTTGCAACAACACAGATGGACCTAGAGGATATAATGCTGAGTGAAATAAGTCAGACAGAGAAAGACAGAAACCATATGATTTCACTTATATGTGGAATTTAAAAAACAAATAAACAGAAGAGGCAAAACCAAAGCAGACTCTTAAATACAGAGAACAAACTGATGGTTGCCAAAGGGGAGGTGGGGGGGTAGGAATGAGTGAAATAGGTAAAGGGGATTAAGAGTACACTTTCTTGATTAGCACTGAGAAGTGTATAGAAATGTTGAATCATTGTATATTTGAGACATATATAACACTGTATGTTAATTATATTTGAAGAAAAAAAATTTTCTCAGTAACGAACAGTACCCATTAGCAATCATTCTGCATTCCTCTCCCCTCTTCCCCAATCCTAGGCAACCACTAACCTACCCTCTGTCTCTATAGATTTGCCTATTCTGTATTTTCATATAAACGGAATCATACAATATATGATCTTTTGTGACTTCTTTTATTTTCACTTTTTTCACTATTATAAATAATGCTTGCTATGAACATTGATGTACAATTTTATGTAGATGTATGTTTTCATTTTTCTTGAGTTACATATAGGAGTAGAATTCTTGGACCATATGCTAACTCTCTTTAACCTTTTGAGGAACTATGTGTTTTCCGAAGTGTCTATCATTTCACATTCTCACCAGCAGCATGTGAGGTTCCCATCTCTCCACATTCTCACCAATACTTGTTGTTGTCTGTCTTTTTGATTCTAGCCATCCTATTGGGTGTGAAGTGTTACCTCATTGTGGTTTTGATTCGCCTTTCCCTGATGGCTACTGCTATCTTATCATGTGCTTATTTGCCACTTCCCTTCTTTGAAGGACTGTCTATTCAGATTCTTTGCTCATTTTCAGTTGGGGTATTTGTCATCTTATTGAGTTGTGAGAGTTCTTTATGTGTCCTAGATACAACCCTGTTAGCAGATAATGATTTGCAAATCTTTTTTCACATTCTGTGAATCCCATAACGTTTTAAAGTAGTAAGAATGTTTAAAATCCATTTTAATTGTATTTTTTTCTCCTTGCTGAAGATGTATCCTTTGAAAATATCCAGTGGAGCATAGATCCAGGAGCAGACCTTTCTCAATATAAAATGGATATTACTGTAATAGATACAAAGGTAAGTTAGAAAGTAAAACCAAGGCCCACGTGGTTATTCTAGTAAGTTGTTAGTCACCCTCCTCCCCTAACTCATTCTGTGACCTTAAGATAATCACATACCTCTTAAAACCTGATTTATTTATTCAGAAAAGTAAGAAATAAAAATGCTCATTTTTCTAACTTTATGATATTTTTGAAAGGGTAATAATACCTTCTGACTTTAAAGGCCTTAGCTGGGACACCTGAGGGGGCTCAGTCAGTTAAGCGTCTGACTCTTGATTTCAGCTCAGGTCATGATCTCAGGGTCATGAGATCAAGCCCACGTTGGGCTCTGCACTGGGTGTGGAGCCTAATTAAGACTCTCTCTCCCTTTCCCCCTGCCCCTCCTCTTTCTTTCCCTCTCTAAAGAAAAAATTTTAAAAAAGGCCTTTGCTGGAAAATATTATTATGGCTTTAAAATAATGAAAAATGCTAGTTACATATTTTAATAATTATATATATATTTCTTAAAGATTTTATTTGAGAGAGAAAGAGCAAGCACGAGCGGGGGGAGGGGCAGAGGGACAAGTAGACTTCTCACTGAGCAGGGAGCTTGACGCAGGGCTGGATCCCAGGACTCTGGTATCATAACCTGAGCTGAAGGCAGACACTTAATTGACTGAGCCACGCAGGTGCCCCTTAATAATTTTATATTTTATCAAAATAATTCATCATATGCCTTGATTAGCTTTAAAAATAATGTTACCATCAAGAAAAAAATTCATTTTCCTAGTTGGCTATTTTTTAAATACTGTATATTTCTTTAAAAATTAAAATTCTGGGGCGCCTGGGTGGCTCAGTTGGTTAAGCGACTGCCTTCGGCTCAGGTCATGATCCTGGAGTCCTGGGATCGAGTCTCACATCAGGCTCGAGTCTGCTTCTCCCTCTGACCCTCTTCCCTCTCGTGCTCTCTATCTCTCATTCTCTCTCTCAAATAAATAAATAAAATCTTAAAAAAAAAATTAAAATTAAAATTCTGGGGTGCCTGGGTGGCTCAGTCAGTTAAATGTCCAACTCTAGATTTTGGCTCTGGTCATGATCTCAGGGTCGTGAGATTGAGCCCCGCATCCAGTGTGGAGCCTGCTTAAGATTCTCTGTCTCCCTCTCCCTCTGCCCCTCCCTACCTCTTAAAAAAAAAATAGTAAAATTAAAATTCCTAGTGGAAATAACTCTTTTGGCTTGTATTTAGTTTCTACATAGTTTGAGAAGTTCTCTTTCACTTGGGAGCATATTAATGAAGTATTTAACTTGCTACAGTATGAAATTTGTTGTGTGGACACTGACATTCATTACTGTGAGACCAACTGGAGAAGAAAGGGAGGAGAAGCCCAGGGAGTTCAGTAGTGCACAACTCTCCCTTCCTTGGCAGCAGTCTTTCTTTTCATGGGCTTGAGAGAGGATGCTTGTATATTGAAGCTAAAATGTTTTACAGGCAATAAAACCTAAATCTATATATTCCTAAGGTAAAAATAAATATAACTTCATGCTACTAAATGTATACTTAAAATATGGTAAAAATGATAAATTTCATGCTATGTATATTTTACCAGAATTTTTAAAAAGTAATATATAAGGCCATGCGGGATCATTGTTAAAATTTTTGAATTTTTAAATATTTAGGATGGCAGTCAGTCAAGATTAGCAGGAGGAGAGACAGTGGACATGGACTGCACATTGGTTAGTGAAACTGTGCTTTTAAAAATGAAGAAGCAGGAGCAGAAGGGAGAAAAAAGCCCAAGTAAGATTTGATTTCTTTTTTTATTTAATAAAAATGTGGAAGGAAGTTTATAGTTGTACCATTGCATTGATGACCACAAGTTACCTCTTCACCGTAAACCAGGTTTTTTTTTCTTCTGATAAATAGATTTCTCTCAGTAAAACTCAGTTTCAGTATTTCAAGGGCAAAAAATCCTTAGCCAAAATCTTTTTTTTTTCCAGGAAGAATTCAGATTGTTTCCAGGATTCAGCAAACCACAGCCAGCTGCCAGTTTTATAAGTAAAGGTTTATTAGAACACAGCTTCACTTACTTGTTTATGTGTTGCCAATGGCTGCTTGCATGGTACCACAGCAGAGCTGAGTAGTAGCTGCAGACCTTATTGAGCCCACAGGCCAAAGATATTTCCTGACTGACCCTTTAAGAAAAAATTTGCTGATCCCTGGTGTTATCCCTAGATAATTTTTTGTAGAAGGGAATCTTGAGAGTCCTGTCTTAGAAATAGGAATTTGCAAAGCAATTTGGTAAAATGAAAAGGGGAGAGTCTGCTGAGAAGTATTTGTATAGACTTGTAAATTAGCAGTAAACTAAGAGTAATAGTGTATATGCTGAGTTACCCTGCCATATTCTGCTTCTGCAGAAAAGGGGATTTGGCCTTTTGTGATAACAGACTATTAATTCTTCATCTAAAGTCTTGATTTTCCAAAAGAGGCAGGAACAGTGGAAGGATTTTGGTTGGCACCACCTTAGCAACATCCCTAACTACAGAGGCATATGTCATGAGATCAACTAGCCCAGGAATAGTGTCACTTACACTCTTATGTTAAGGGTTAGGACCTGCCACAGGGGATGCAGGGCCAACAGCAAGGACATTTTCCAGTGATCATCTGTTAGAAACTGAAGACAGTCTATATGTACATTCCCTATCTTGTTCTGAATATTCTGTAATCTTCCTTCCCCGGGGCTGAAGCCAATCTTGTCCCCACTTCTTTCGAAACACTTTATCTCAGGACGCCTGGTGGCTCAGTCAATTAAGCATCTGACTCTTGGCTTCAGCTCAGGTCGTGATCCTTAGGGTCGTGGGATTGAGCCCCACATGGGGCTTCCCTCCTCAGTGAGCACCCTTCTTCCCCTCTCTCTCTCCGTCTGCCCCTCTCCCCGCTTGTGCACTCTCTCTCTGACTCTCTCTCCCTCTCTCAAATAAATCTTTTAAAAAAGAAAAAAAGAAACACTATCTCTTGCTGCCCTAACTGCGGTAAGTGAGGAAAAATTGTAGTAGTCTTTGCCTTAATTCTTTGTTCTTTAGGAATGAGTAACCATACAATCAAGTAGCTGGCTGCCTATGTTGAAAGGCCTACCTATTAAAAGAAAAAACCTTAACAGTGATTTATTGTCCTTTTATAGTGAATGACACTTAAGTAACTTTCTTCTTAAGAAGGTACTTTGCTTTTAAGATTATTTTGTCTGGTACCAGCTCCTGATAATGTTTTCCTTATTTCTGTTAAAAAAAAGAAAAGGTAGGGGCGCCTGGGTGGCTCAGTTGGTTAAGCGACTGCCTTCGGCTCAGGTCATGATCCTGGAGTCCCAGGATCGAGTCCCGCATCGGGCTCCCTGCTCAGCGGGGAGTCTGCTTCTCCCTCTGACCCTCCCCCGTCTCATGTGCTTTCTCTCTCTCATTCTCTCTCTCTCAAATAAATAAATAAAATCTTTAAAAAAAAAAAAAAGGTAAAACTGAAGTACGACTACTTTGGCTTCAAATTTATCTAGTTAATTCAAAGAATATGATGGTTTCCCAAATATGTTTGAAGCAAGTATCATGTGGAAGTGAGGTTAGAATTTGAACTAATGAGTGGAGACAGTTTTGGCTACATAAGATATTGTGAGTACTATTGCTATTATAATAAACCACTCCGATAACTTAAAGGATTAAGACAACAGTCATTTTCTTATCTTTCATAGTTTCTATGGTTCAGGAAGAGTTTGGCTGGATGGTTCTGTCCCAGGGTCTCTTATGCAGTTGTAGGCAAACGGTAGCTAGAGCTGGAACAGCAGAGGGGTAGACAAGCTGAGGGTGGCTTGGCATCTCTCTTCATTTAATTTCAGGGCTTCTCCATATGGCCTTTCCGCGTGGGGTAGTTTGAGCTTCCTCATCACATGGAGACTAGGGTCCCAGAGTCAGCATCCCAAAAATAACAAGGCAGAAGTGCATGGTATTTTTATGATCTGGCCTCAGAAGTTGTATAGTGTCACGAAGACCTACCCAAGTTCAAAGCAAGCAAGCAGCCCTTCCCACTCAGTGGAGGAGTGTAAGACCAGCACCTAGGATAGGAGATATTTTTAAAGCCATATGTGGAAAAAGATAGTCCCGTGCATTTTACCCATAAGGTAGATCTTTTTAATACTTAGAATTGGTTAAAAATGAATCATACCAATAAAATCCCCCAATTACTGCTAATATTTCAGTTCAAAAATATGTTTTATATTTCTACTGTGTATTAGACTTCCCAGATGCTGTGATAGAAAGATTAATAAGGATATAGTCTCTGTTGTCAAGTATTTCAGTCAGAAGTCAGACCCAAAAAAAATAAATTAGTCGGGCACATGGGTGGCTCAGTTGGTTAAGCGTCTGACTCTTAATTTAGGCTCAGGTCATGATCTCAGGATTGAGCCCCGCATCGGGCTCCATGCTGGGTGTGAAGTCTCCTTAAGATTCTCTCTCTCCCTCTCCCTCCTACCCCTCCCTCCCTGCTCACACCCTCTCTCTCTCTCAAAAAAAAAAAAAAAAATTTAATTAAAAAGAAAAACAAACTAGTGATTTAACATTGTGAATTATTAACAGCATATACAGAATACTTTGGGAATACCTACCTAAGACACTGCCTAGCACATAGAAATTGTATATTATTTACAAATTTGATCCTCAGTGTGAAAAGGAATAATGCTTAATCATTCAGTAAATATTGAGCTTCAATTCTATAGGGAAGTGTTTCAGGAACTGGAAATAATGAGTAAACAGAACAAAAGTACCTACTTCGTGGAACTTACCTTCTAATTTAAGGGGAGATATAATCAAATATGTGGTATAATAGATGATGCTAAGTTCTGGAGAAAGATAAAATAGGGTAAGGGTGCTAGAACACCATGGATTGAGGGAGGTGGTGGTTATTTTATAGAGAGGAATCTGAGCAGGCTTCTGCTCTATCATGTGTGTTAGCCAACTGGATCTATTTCTGTTTTGTAGGAAACTGCCATTTTTCAAAATGTGATTATATAGTGGGAACTGTAGTTAGTACTCTGAGGATGAATTTAGCACTTAACATATCAAATGAGGAATTGAATTCATTATTTCTAGCAATACTCAACTACCAAGTGTTATTGATGATGTAAGAAAACACTTCTTTTGCTACCACATTAGAAAAATAAGCAGATGAGCAAGTTCTATAGATTTTAATGTCAGTTATTTATACACATTTTATTTAAACCTAATATTTTTCATCATTATGATGCATTTTCTATTCCTCACAGTTTTTTGGTAGGACTCATTTTAGTGTAGTATGAATTATACATGAGCTAATAGGGAGAAAAAGATTTTTATGTATGTAATGAAAACAACAAACATTCTCTTCACATGAATAAAGGACATTTAAAGCCCTAACATAAAGTCTTTGTAAATATAGTAACTATCTAGACTTGGGGGTTTACTGTTGCCCCATGTACATCCTAGGCAAGTGTATTTTGTGGCAGTTACTACAAGTTTCACATTGGTCTACGTAGAAAGCAAAAAGCTTGCTTGTTGCCCTAAGCCAATGCTCTTTACATAGATGGAGAAAGAAAAATGAATGATAGCTTGGAAGATATGTTTGATCGGACAACACATGAAGAATATGAATCCTGTTTGGCAGACAGCTTCCCCCAGGTGGCAGATGAAGAAGAGGGATTGTCAACTACCACAAAGAAACCAAACAGTAAGGCTATTTTCTTTCTAATTATGGCTTCTCGGTTACACTTAGTTCAGTAAATTAAGTCAACGAGCTAATTAATGGAGACTTGATGGGCTATATATTAATAATTAAAATTTCATATTTCTTGTATAAATTTCTTTTAGATAGATAATTTCAGACCAACAAAAGAGTTACGAAAAAATAGCTCAGAGGAAAGAAAATAGTTCAGAGGATTCCCTGTACTTTTCATTCAGCTTCCCCTTATATTAATATGACCATAAAATATTCATCAAAACTAAGAAATTAATCTTGATTGAATACTACGGATTTCTTTATAACTTGCACATAAAGTTAATAAAAAAGTTTTGAGAACATTCTTTGTTAAGTAATAATCATTGTAATAGAGTTGGAAGGAGAAAGTTTTACAGAAAATTCAGACTAATTTTCTGTTTGAATGCTTTACCTTCCCAGACAAAATAATGTAACTATATGTATCCGTCTTTTTAAAATTCTTTTTTTTTTTAAAGATTTTATTTATTTATTTGACAGAGAGAGACACAGCAAGAGAGGGAACACAAGCAGGGGGTGTGGGAGAGGGAGAAGCAGGCTTCCCGCAGAGCAGGGAGCGTGATGCGGGGCTCGATCCCAGGACCCTGGGACCGTGACCTGAGCCGAAGGCAGACGCCTAACTGACTGAGCCACCCAGGTGCCCAGTCTTTTTAAAATTCTTATCAGGGTGCCTGGGTGGCTCAGTCAGTTAAGTGTGCCTTTGGCTTGGGTCATGATCCTGGGGTCCTGGGACCAAGCCCCTCCTCAGCAGGGAGCCTGTTTCTGCCTCTCCCTCTGCCTCTGCCCCCCACTCAGTTCTCTCTTGCTCTGTCTCTCAAAAAAATAAATAAAATCTTTTTTAAAAATTTTTAAAAAATAATAAAATTCTTTTCATTAGAAGCAGGGTTTATAGGGCAGGGTAGCATTCAAAAGAAGAATACTCTGAGTGAAACTCTTAACTAGATAATCTGAATTGAAAGTTAAAATTTTTGCAAAATGTCTCATTTTCTTTTTGTGAGTAAAAAAGGAATTTTTAGTCTAGTGAAAAGGTTATATATGAGCACACCTTCTGCTATGGAATAGTCTGTCTTGATTATGTTTTCCCCGTGCTCCCATTAGGTTTTAAAAAAATACAGCCCTGGGGCGCCTGGGTGGCTCAGTCATTAAGCATCTGCCTTCGGCTCAGGTCATGATCCCAGGGTCCTGGGATCGAGCCCCACGTCGGGCTCCCTGCTCCGCGGGAAGCCTGCTTCTCCCTCTCCCACTGCCCCCGCTTGTGTTCCCTCTCTCGCTGTGTCTCTCTCTGTCAAATAAATAAATAAAATTTTTAAAATAAAGACATACATACATACAGCCCTTACTAGCTCAAAGTGAATGAGACCCTAACCACAGGTACAGAACAGCAGGCTTTTGCTTGCTCAGTCCATAGCAAAAACTTGATCCAAGCCAACTTTTGTGATAAAAATTTACAACTGTTCAGTTCACTTTTTTCTTCCAAGAAGAGCCTTTTGCTAATTGTTTTCACTTAAAAAGGCAGGGGGGATATTCTTTTACAAGATATAATCATTAATTTCTGTCCTTTTTTTTTTTTTAAAGTTACATCTCACGCTGACCATCTCAAAATTTCTTCTCACTTCTCTTTTGTGGCAGTGCTGCACTGTTTGATCTCTGGAAACTTCTGCTTCCTAGAGTATCCCAAGACTGTTTTCTTCCTCACATATATTTTTCTCTCATGCTTCTATTAACTACCTCTGCGTCTCTAGTTTGTCTTCTCGGATGAATCCCAGTCCTGCATTTTCTTTCAGGAAATGTAATGGAAATGGAAATGCTACTTTTGTGTCTCTTCAACAACTTAAACTTAACATATCCAAACCAGGTTCCATTTATTTCTTACCAAATGACCTTTCAGGCTTTTTCATTTTTCCCAGTCACCTAGGCATATAGTTTACGATTTTATTGTCAATTTATTTCGTGTTCTTGACCCTCATATCACAAAGTTCTACCTAGTCTTTTAGGAAAGAACAAATTTCAGGGAGGATATCAAAAGCTTGGTTCTAGACATGTTAATACTTACTAGACATTCAATGGAAATGTTAGTAGGTAATTGATATGTGTCGAGTTTGGACAAAACAGCCAGAATAAAGAAATGATTTCGGGGGCAGGAGGTCAACAGCAAGTAGATAATAGTACTTAAGGCCATGAAACTGAGTGAGATCACCAAAGTATAGAAAACAGAAGCGTTTCAAGTTCTGACCTCTGGGGTATGGCAACTTTGAAAGGTTGGAGAAAGAGGAATCAGCAAAGGAAATTGAGAAGGAGCTGGAGCCAGTGAAGTAGGAGGGAAACAAGAGTATGTGCTGCTTGTGGACACCAAGTGAAGATGTTTCTATATATTCATTACTCCTAGCCTTGTCCTCTCGCTTCTGAACCCCAAACTATTCAAATCAGAAATCTTTATTTTCTACCCAAATTTGATTCCCCACCCCCCCCGCCACCTTTCCTGGTCTCATTAAACCTCAGTAACTATCCTCCCAGGTACTAAAGACAGAAATGTGGGAGTCGTATTTGACTTCTTTTACCTCTTCATGCCCAGTCTGATACCCTGGCAATACTATCTCCAAAATACGTTTCGTACCACCTCTCCATCCCTGTAGCCACTGTCCTAGTCTAAACCACTCTTCTCGCCACCTGTTCTACTACAGGCCTCCTGACTGGTCTTTTAGGACAGTTGTTTCTCTCCAGTCTATTCTCTACAGAGACTCCAAACTCATTTGTTTTAAATGTAAACTAGATTGTATTATCTTCTTATTTAAAAACCCTCAGTGAGGGGCGCCTGGGTGGCTCAGTCATTAAAGCGTCTGCCTTCAGCTCAGGTCACGATCCCAGGGTCCAGGGATCGAGCCCCGCATCAGGCTCCCTGCTCAACGGGAAGCCTGCTTCTCCCTCTCCCACTCCCCCTGCTTGTGTTCCCTCTCTCACTGTCTCTCTCTCTGTCAAATAAATAAACAAAATCTAAAAAAAATAAAAACCCTCAGTGAAAAGATATTTGGCCAGTAAGCACATGTAAATATGCTCAACATTATTGGACAGGAGGGCCTGAGATACTACTTCACACCCACTGAAATGGTTAAGAAGATTGGTAATAATCTGACATTAGCAAGAGTAAAGAGCAACTGGAACTCTCATACTCTGCTGGTTAGGTATATAAAATTGTGCTGTGGAAAAGAGTTCAGCAAGGTTTTTTTTAACAGCTTTATTGAGGTTTGTCAGGTTTTTATGAAGTTATGTATACACCCAGCATAGTACCCAGCAATTCCACTCCTAGGTATATAAACAAGAAAAATGAAAACACTTTCACAAAGCATTGTGTTCAAGAATGTTCATAGCAGTGCTATGTGCAGTAGCTCAAAACTAGAAATAACCCAAATGTCCATCAACAGGTGACTAAATATGAATTGTGGTAAACTCATTTAATGGAATACTACTTGTCAACAAAAAGGAGGGTACTCGATTCAACAATGAATCTCCAGAACCTACTGAGCTAGAAAGATCCAAAAGATGGAAAAGAGTACATATTATGTAATTCCATTAATACAAAGTTCTAAAACAGGCGTAACTAAGCTGTGGTGGCAGAAATCATCCCTCCATAGGGGGAGGGAAGAGACATCAGAGAACATTCATCTGTTTGAGAAGCAGAAGAATAGGAGGAAACTTCCAGGGGTGATGCAAGTTCTCTCTCTTGATTTGGATGGTAGTTACGCTGGAGTAAACATTTGTCAAAATTAATCCTAGTATACTTAAAATCAGTGTGTTTTCTGTATAAATTATCCCTCAGTAAGTAGATTCTTTTCAAAAGTCTTCAGTGGTTTGCTTTTGCATTCAAACTCCTTTCAGCCTCTAGGGCCCATCATGATCTGGTGCTTGCCCACATCTCCAATCTCATCTTTCCTAACACCTTTCTTCACTTAATCTCAACCACACTGGCCTTCTCTTAGTTCTTATAACATACCAAACTTTTTCCCATCTCAGGACCTTTACCTAGAACATTCTCCGCTCCTGCTTCTTGTGGCTGACTTCTTTTTATTCATCAGTTACCACCTTCCATGTCCTTCCTCAGAAAAGCCTTAGCTGTCGACTTGCTTAATGTCTTTTTCCCTCACTGTGGTATAGACTCCATGAGGACAGGAGACCTGGTTTCTCTTGTCGGACATTGCATGTCCCCAGAAAGAGCACCATGAATGATAAATATTGATTATTTGAATACACAATAGCAGTTGGCTGTTTGGGTCTAGACAACTTGGGATTCGGGTCCATGAGCTCTCGTTCTTATTTTGTCACCAATTTTCTGATAAAATTCTTTAACCTCTATTTCGTAGTTAATCTACCTCAAAGACACATTATAAAAATCAGTGGGACTGGGGCTCCTGGCTGGCTCAGTCAGTGGAGCATGTGACTCTTGATCTCAGGGTCGTGAGTTTAAGTCCTACATTGGGTGTAGAGCTTACTAAAAAAAAAAAATCAGCAGGACTAATAAGTGAAACATATTAGAAGCTGTCTTATTGTTGTTTGGTGCCAAATGATAATGGGCATCAGAATAATTCTTTTGAAGTCTAAAATAATTTTATATATAATCTACACATATGTACATATACTTTGTATATATAGTTTTTAAATCTAAAATAGTTTTATAGGTAAGATTTTTATCTCTAGTAATCCTGAGGTAAACAAGATAATCAGCACCCTCCTCATTATGCAGATGAAAAAGAGAAAATTAGTTACAGAAAATTTAAACAAGTTGTCCAGGAGACTGAAGTATGAAATCCAGTAAGAATGAAGTTTTGATATAGGTCATTCTTGTTCCAAAAAAGCTATTTCTCAATTTTGCATTCAGTTTGTGGTATGTGTGTTTTGTTTACAGTTCCTGGTGATAAACAAGATAAAGTCAAACAGAAAGCATTTGTGGAGCCGTATTTTAAAGATGATGAAAAGTAAGTTGGTCTTGATTAATACCAGTGATGTGATTGGAAGTACAGCAGAGCTATCTTTGTCAGAATACCTCTGAACTGTTAAATTGCTACTTTGGTTAAAGCCAAGTTTGTATCATTTACCTTATGTTCTTAACAAAAAAGAGGGACTCAAGCATAAAAAGGACAAATACTACAAATAAGGAAATTTATATTACCACTACTTTTTTTGACAGTGGTAATAGTTATTTTCTCTCTTTTTTATAACATATGTTTTTATTCCTGTTCTGTTTTATTAGGGACTTTATTTGAACTTCAGGAATTTGTTATATACTGTAACGGTTATATAGTATAAGACTTTAGGTGGCAAGCCTTAGGTTGTGCTTGAGAATTACCGCATGAGGATTTTTAAACCTTAAAAGAAAAACTGAGCATCTTGATTTTGAACCATAATGCTGCTTTGTGCCTTTTATTCAAAGATGGCAAATTTTTTTTTTTTAAGATTTTATTTATTTGAGAGAGAGAGCACAAGCAGGGGGAGGGGCAGAGGAAGAGGGAGAAGCAGCTTCCCTGTTGAGCGGGGAACCCAACATGGGGCTCAGTCCCAGGACCCTGAGATTATGACCTGAGCTGAAGTCGGATGCTTAACTGACTGAGCTGCCCAGGCTTCCCCAAAGATGGCAAATTCTATAACTTTTAATCATGTACTATTCATTCTAGAAGTGAATTTAAGCATAGTAATTCAATTCAAAAAAATTTTTTTTTCTTCAAGTTTTACGATGTTAGCAAATTGAGTCACTCAATAAGCAAAGTTTATTTTATACTTATTTCTGTTGAGAATTTTAGGGATCTGACAGGCCACGACAAATTTTTATTGATGCTGTAAGACTATTAGACAAGAGCTGTTGTTTTGTTGCTAAATGCTTAATTCTTTTCCTTTATTTACCAGTTCTCCAAAGAAATAGTACTCTAGCATCCCAAATGTGACTGGGGAGTTTTTATTTGTGGTGTGTCATTACGAACTCATGGATTTAAGTGTTTCATGTGTTTTAGTCAAACCACCAGGGTTGCTCATTGCCATAGTTATTATTTCTAGATCTTTTAGGTGGACAGAGTTAGGAATAAGGTTTTTGTTTTGTTTTTTAAGATAACTACACTTTTTCATATTGATAGCTCCAATTCAAGTTCAGAACTACAGGATTTTGGGGGTGCCCGGGTGACTCAGTCGTTAAGCATCTGCCTTCAGCTCAGGTCATGATCCCAGGGTCCTGGAATTGAGCCCCACATCGAGCTCCCTGCTCAGCGGGAGGCCTGCTTCTCCCTCTCCCACTCCCTCTGCTTGTGTTCCCTCTCTTGCTGTGTTTCTGTCTGTCAAATAAATAAATAAAATCTTTAAAAAAAAAAAGAACTACAGGATTTTTACATAACAACCTCTTCTGTCTCATATCTGTACCTACTTTCCCCCTACTGAGAATCCCACTTCTCAGTGCTACCCACATAATTTCTCATTTAACTTTATTTAATATTCAGAGCAGTCTCAGAATAATATAAATTATCACCAATAATATGATTTATGAAAATGGTTTAAGATGTCTTTGTGGGCTTTTTGTTCTTAAGATATATTCTATTAGAACAACCATGTTATCTGCATCTTTTTTTTTTTTAAAGATTCTATTTATTTATTTATTTATTTTTTTAAAGATTTTATTTATTTGACAGAGACACAGCAAGAGAGGGAACACAAGCAGGGTTGGGGGAGAGAGAGGGAGAGCAGACTCCCGCCGAGCAGGGAGCCCAATGCGGGGGCTCAATCCCAGGACCCTGGGCTCATGACCTGGGCCGAAGGCAGACGCTTAACAACTGAGCCACCCAAGTGCCCCTGCATCTTTTCATAAAATAAAAATTCTAAAAATGAAAAGAAAAGGTGTATCTATTTATAATAATAAATGTACAGTCCAGTGACTGTGTTTTAAAGCCATTTGGAATAATTATTTTTTGGGCAGGTATGTCACTGACTCAGTCCCTAGGTTTGTTTTATTTTGCTTTTGAATTTTGTTGTTGTTTTTTATCTTTAATTTTTTTTAATTATGTAAAATTTGTACATGGTATCAGAGGCTACAAAACAAGGTATATTCAGATATGTCTAGTTTCCATCATTGTCCCCTTTACCCTATTAGCTCCCTCCCCCTAAAGGTAACCATTTAAAAACCATTTAAAAAATATGGTTTTCAATCAATTTTAAAAAATAAAAGCTGATATCTGTACAGAAATATATTGTCATTCTCTCTCCCCTTAAACAAATGGTAGAATGCTATGTATATACTTTTCTCTGTTTTGCTTTTGCTTTTTTCATTTAAGTATATATCCTGGAAAATCACTCGTAATAGCATATAGTGGTATTCCACATTTCCCTTTTTAGTTGTATAGTACTTTATTGTTTGTATCGTAGTTTATTCCTTAGTAATGAGTATTTGGGATGTTTACAGTTATGCTAACACAGAATGCTGCAGTGAATAACGTTGTACATTTTCTTTTCATATTGTTGTGTATCTTTGGGATAGATTCCTTGAAGTAGGATTGCAGAGTAAGAACTGTCATTTCAAATGTTTCATATTGAAAGTTCACTAACTTTTTAAAAATGTGAGTAGTTTTATTTATTCTGAAACCATTAGATAGCTGGAGACACAAGAGGTGGGTATAAGACATGAGGACAGTAAAAGTCTTAAAATTAGCATCGTTCCTTTCCCCACAGACAATACTAGCAAACCCTGGGAAGATGGGTTGTGTTGTATGAGGGACAAGAAGCTTAGTCATCTCTCTGGTGATGCTTTAAGGTCTAGTACAGATGCCAGTCAGCTAGGAAATTCCCTGCAGCTTTAGAACAATAGTAGCAGAATAAATAATACTCAAGAGGAGAGGATATGGCCAAAATGTATTCTATATAAACTTTTAAGAGTCCATAAACCATTTGAAAGAAAGCAATTTTTATCTGTCCTTTTAACTTACAGATTGCTCTAAAGTTGAGAGTTTTTGGGCTTAAGCCCCCACAGGACCTATAACCTCATATACTTTGACATAGAGCAATTAAAGCTTCCTTTTGAGAGAAAGTGCTTGCCAACTAGAGGGGCATGTGATCAGAATGCCTCAGAGGAGTAGATATGTTACCAAGTAGTTTTACAAATCAGTTTTTGTGAGTCAGGCTCTTGAAGCTCTCTGAGGATGTTTCTATTATAAACAAATATGTAGGGCGCCTGGGTGGCTCAGTTGGTTAAGCGACTGCCTTCGACTCAGGTCATGATCCTGGAGTCCCTGGATCGAGTTCCGCATCGGGCTCCCTGCTTGGCAGGGAGTCTGCTTCGCCCTCTGACCCTCCCCCCTCTCATGTGCTCTCTCTCTCTCAAATAAAAAAAAATCCATATAAACAAATATGTATACCATCACTTAAGTCTTCATTTACCTATTTGTTTGGACTTTTCTGTATTGAGCTTTAAAACTTAAAGCAGGATACAGTATATTAAAAAGTTCTGTACTTCCTGCTTGCTTTTTCTTCCCAAAGCACTCTGTATCTCATTAATCCATATCTCAGTGGCTTTGACCCTCCTAGGTTCCCAGTAGTTCTCAGTAGGATCTGATCCATTTAAGGACAAGCGCAAATAATTGTTCCTGACATTTTAAAGAATCCAGGGTGAGTGGAGGCAGCAAAATAAATTTTTAGAGAAAATGACCCATGACATACAAACAGAAGAATCTCTTTTTTGAGGAGGGGAGTAGGTTAGCCCAGCAATACAGGTTCTTAAAGGAAACTGAGTTAACAGGCAGTTACTCTCTTTCTTGGTTATGTTATAGAATACCAATTCCTGACTTCAATAATACAATATTTCTTTATAAATTAGGTTATTTTAGGGGCACTTGGATGACTCAGTTAAGCATCTGACTTTTGATTTCAGCTCAGGTCATATCTCAGGATTGTGAGATCGAGCCCCACTTGGAGCCTGCTTGGGATTTTCTCTTTCCCTCTCCCTCTGCCTCTCCCCCCACTCACTCACTCTCTCTTTCTCTCTAAGTAAATACATAAACTATTTAAATAGTAATAAATTAGGTTATTTTATATATTATTTTCAGCCAATCAGAGACAAAAATAGGAATAGTTATCTTTTTCAGTTAGAGAACAATATACATAAAAATACCTGACATAGAGTAAGCACCTAGTAAGTATTTAATGAAGAATGCATGAAAAAATATGTTTTTCTAACATAGTAAATATTTCAAATAAAATGAATGAATGTTTTGGGATTATTTCTCCTCTGGGCCCTTACCTTCATTAATTAAAAATCTAAACCTAAGATTTTTGTGGTAACAAATGGATTAATGAATTTAATTCATTTTTCTTCCAGAGAGACTAGCTTACAAAATTTTCCTCATATTGAGGTAGTTCGGAAAAAAGAAGAGAGAAGAAAATTGCTTGGACACACATGTAAGGAATGTGAAATTGTAAGTATGAATGTGAATACTGTCCAGTGGGTTTTTTAAAATATGGCTTTCTAGATTAGAAATGCATGATTTAAAAATCATAGAGACCATATTTGTATCTAGAAAGCTCGTTTGAGCCAGGAATAGCGGGATGGATAATTAAAGAGCACACTGGCTGTGATTTGGGGGATCTAAATACTTGGAAATGAAAGCCCTCAACCTCTCAGATTGTCATTAAGTGAATCTGGAACCTAAGCCCTCGTTCTTTTTACCAGCTTAAGATATCTGTGCCGTTTTTCTTTTCTGTGTTTATTTGTATTTGTTTTAATTTCTTTCCCCTGGTGTTATATTACAGCAAAGGCCCTTCCTTATTCATATACTATTTGGGGAAAATTCTGATATTTTAGTAGGAAACTTTAAAGTTTATTACTTATCCCAGCACTCTCAGGAAATGACATATATTCATAATTGATTTTTTCTAAATAACTGGTATAACCATAATTTCTTAACTTTTCCCCCAAACACTCCTTCCTAAACACAATGTGATGAGCAGGCTCTATGTCATCCTTAGAACACAATTATATTTTCCTTTTATACATTGGCTGTCTTGGACTAGTGAAGCAGAAGTAGTACTAACCATCCGCTCACTAAATATCTCAGACAGGTTCTGTGTTTTCTTGAAACACGTTTTTTTAATTTCTTCCCTTGCTGTCTGTTAACTATTAGATGCCTGCCTCTAGTGATTTAGTTCCCTTTTAAATTTTCTTTTTAACAGCTGTGGGCTAGAAAATTTGAAAACCAAGCAGATTAAAGTTATTTATGGATAGCTTGTAGTTCAGGTAAGCATTTGGTGAAAAATAGGCTCTAACTACCAGTGGGAGTGTAAATAGAGATCACGATTTTGGAAAGCAATTTGGCAGTACAAGCAAAATCTGTATCATGAGTTTTTATAACACAAATTGAACATATCATGATTTCTTAACTAAAGAACATGGTCAAGCCTCCAGTTTTTAGTTAAGACCATCATTCTTTACAATCTGGAACTAACACTACCAGTTAGAAAAAAGCTCTTGTGCTAGAAGCACTGTTAATTTGCTTTCCTTGTCTCAGTAATCATTTCCTATGCTGTCTGTTATTCAGTCTCTAAAAACTGTTGTCTCAGGCACCTGGGTGGCTCAGTAGGTTAAGCATCTGCCTTCAGCTCAGGTCATGATCCCGGGGTCCTGGGATCGAGCCCCATGTCAGGCTCTCTGCTGGGAGCCTGCTTCTCCCTCTCACTCTCCTATGTGCTCCCCCCTCCAAATAAATAAAATCTTTAAAACTAAATAAATAAAAACCATTATCTCGGTACATTTTATTCCAATATTTTTGTTAAGATAGGAGATGAATCTGTTCCCTGTTAACTCTCCCATGACCAGGAGCAAAAGTGCCAGGCCTATGTATTTAAATACTCTCTCTATGCTTACAGTTCTTAGATGTGTCCCAGTGTCTTCCACCCGTGGAATATGTAGTACACATGTGGAAATATAATAATCATCTCAAATTTCACCATGTCCAGAAGCAAACAGAGTTTCTACCGCTGATTCCCAAACCTCACCTGAGTCTCCTCTATGTCCATTCTTCTGGCTGTTTAAACCAAAGCTCTTATAGTTATCCTCTCTTCTTTCACATCTCAGTAACAAATCTATCAGCAAATCCCGTCAGTTCTACCTTCAAAGTGTATCCCATCTCTATCCACTTGATATCACCACCACTAAACCCCTGGACCAAGGCACCATTTCATCTTGTCTGGACTATTGAAATAATTTGCTTCTAAGTGCTTTCCTTCTGTTGTTTTATTTTAATCAACTGTTTTTGGAAAAGCTGTGTTGAGAATTCCCATATACCTCTGTCCTCACTTTTCTTGTTTATACTTGTCTCTTCACAGTGTATGTTCTTTGTTTTTAAAGCAAGGTATTTCTGAGATGTTAATGGTTTTTATTGCCCCCAGTGGGGAAATTGGGATTAAAGGTCCTTCTGTCAGCACTAAGTGCTTAAGTTCCTGGCCTCCCTGCCAGAGGGGAGAGGGAGTCAGGGATGCGGGGTGTCAAGGGACAGGACAGGGCCTGAGAGCGGGCGGCAGCACAGGGTGGCTTGGATAGGACGGACATCTACTTGATTTCTGTCTTCACCGTGTGCTTTAACACAATGAATGATCTTTTGTTTCCTGATGATCTTTTTAGAATAAAAATTAAATCATGCCATTTCTCTGCCCGAAACCCTTAAATGTCTGACCATCTCACGCAGAAATAGAACCCAAAGTCCTTATCGAGGACAGCAAACTCTGGCACCCCACTTCCTCTCTGATTTTATCTTCTACCACTCTCCCAGTTGTTCACTGTGTCACAGCTACACCAACCCACTGTTGCTTCTGTATATGTTGTAATTTGGTGGCAGTGTTTCTCTAAATTGACTGGTAACTGTTATTCTCTAGTTAGGGTCATCCCATCCCATGTCCAGGCCATGGTAACAAAGGCTTGTATTCACAGCAATGAGAAAGATGAAAAAGATAACCCCCAAAAAAGTTGTTTCAGAGGTACTCAAAAAACCTTTCCTTCAAACTTAAGTTTTAGCCCTTAGTGTGCCACTTTCAATAGAAGATATCGTCAGTAAATTAGCAATTTGATTTTCAGTTTCTCAAGTTTGAGGTGGAATTGGCTGGATTGTGTGATCCTGTCGCATGTTCTATTAAACTTTACACTGCTGCTTTGTTTTCTTAGGTCTAGAGCTTGAAGGACCTGTACATTTTTAACATAAAAATTTTAATCTTGTTTTTATGAAGTTCAAGTTCTTTGGGTTGCAGTTGCAAGAAATTATATGTCTTTGATGGTAATTGAAAAATATGGTTTAAAGGGGGGAAGTCATAAATCCTGCAACGTTCAAAGCTAAACTTTAATTTGTAAAAACTTGGATAAGAAAATTACTTCAAGGGCTCCTGGGTGCTCAGTTGGTTAAGCGACTGCCTTCGGCTCAGGTCATGATCCTGGAGTCCCGGGATCGAGTCCCACATCGGGCTCCCTGCTTAGCAGGGAGTCTGCTTCTCCCTCTGACTCTCCCCGTTCTTGTGCTCTCTCTCTCTCTCATTCTCTCTCTCTCAAATAAAATCTTTAAAAAAAAAAAGAAAGAAAGAAAATTACTTCAAAACACACATGTTATATCCAAATAACACTGACAAAAGTGCTGTTCCAAGTACAGTTTTGTTACTGGTCTGACAGTTGAGTTTGCACTGGTAGATAAATCAACTGCATCACTCAGCACACTATAAAGCTAAGCTGGCATTTTTTGTTTTTGTTTTTGTATTGTAAGACTTTATTGATGAGAAGAGCAGCATATTGGTTAGCATTCTGATGCAAGCTCCTTTTCTTATTTGTGGAGTAAACATTTCACAGACCAGCACTAGTTACTGTTAGTATTAATTACTAATATTATCTTCAGTGAGTGTTGTTTTCCTTAACCTGCTGAATACTTTAACAGCTTTCTTAGTAGCTTCTAGTTTATAATCAATAAGCCTAACAGTCCATTTATTATTTCTAAGTGAAAAACTTACCAGTTTTTATTATTAGTATTATGCAGATATTCCAGCAGAAGAAAGAGAAAAGAAATTGGCTTCCTGCTCGAGACATCGATTCCGCTACATTCCACCCAACACACCAGAGAATTTCTGGGAAGTTGGTTTTCCTTCCACTCAGACGTGTATGGAAAGAGGTGAGAGTACAGATTATAACATTTTGGAATTCTTTTTTTTTTAAATACTGTATATACTCAAATCTAACCATTAGACTTTTCCCCCATGGTTCCTCTTACCTTCTGCTCAGGGGCTAGTTCAGTGACATAAAAACAAATTCGTAAAGATAAAAGGCTCACCTTTAACTCTGAATAATGTCATTGAAATCAGAGATTGTGTATAATCACTTTAATATGATTGTGTATTCATTATCCTCATTTATCATTCAAATTTCAGAAAGTTAATTTCTCTTATCCTGTCATCAAAATGACTTTTAATAAAATAATAACATTACAAAAGTTGCCAGCAAAGTTATATTGTTAAAAAGAGAGCATCTTTTTAAAGCAACTAGTCTGAATTTTAGCTTTTAAAACCTCACTTATCCAGAATGCTGGGTATTTATAAACCACATCTGAGTAAAAAGAACCTTTGTTTGGAGGACCGTTGCAACTAGCTCCTTCAACTATGACACTGACATTTAATATGATTTGAGAATATATACAGCTTTGAAGCTCCAGATATTGAGTAGTAAGATAGTTTTTCCAAAAGATGCAAAGTCTCTTGTAGCTATTACCATATTTTCACTTTCCCCATTAACAAGCCAAATTACATTCCCTTTGACATAATGACACTGCCTGGTCATCAAATAGAATTAAACAGTCTGCACAGAGCCTGTGTTTGTACACCTACCATGGCCTTCAGAGGATATGGCCGAGTGCAAACCACGTGATTCAAGATGCCTTAGGAGAATCGGATGGTTGAAGAGTATAGGGGCACGGGACGCCTGGGTGGATCATTCGTTGGGGCATATCGTTTGAAGAAGTAGCTGCCACAGAAAGTCTTTTTGATAAGCACATAGAATTATAATAGTGAAGAGTTCTTTTTTGTCCCCATTTGCAATCTGGAGGAGGCAGACTATGAAAGTACCTAAGAGCTCTGGTTCTGGAGGTTAGATGGACCTTGGGCAAAGTCCCAGCTCTTCCACTTCCGTAGCTTTGTGAACTTGAGCAAGTTCTTTAACTTCCTTGGGTCTCCATAACCTCATCTCTGAAGGAAATATAGTAGAAGCTACTTCAAAGGAATGTGAGCATTAGCTGAGATAATGTATACAACACATTTGATAAATGTTTGCTGCTATTGTTAGTATAAATGAGGAAACTGATGCTAGGTAGTGAAATCTTTCATTAACATTGCGCAGCTAATAATCAAAAGACCATGTAAACTAGAATACGTTAAATGAGACCAATGTTACCTGGTACATGCTGAAAGAAATACATGTTGCAAATACAGTCTTCTAAATTTGTCATTTGTTTTTAAGGTTACATTAAGGAAGACCTTGATCCTTGTCTGCGTCCCAAAAGACGGCAGCCTTACAATGCAATGTTTTCTCCAAAAAGCAAAGAGCAGAAGACATAGATGTTGAAGCAAAAACAGGATAGAAGACAGTTTGTTTCTTTTTAGTTATTTATAGTTAAAGTTGGTATTAAACACTGATTTTTTTTTGATCTTCTGTAAACTGACTTATAAATCATTTTTCTATTGAAAGTGTTTTTAAATGGCATTTACCCACCACACAACTATTTAAAATGTGGATATGCTTATGTTGTATTGTCTTGCTTTTGCACCTTTAAAACAATAAGGTGCTTTCATTTTGCACTCTAACTTAAGAGCTATTTACTTTATTTGGTAATACCTAATTACAATTTTGGAAAATATGATAGTGTAGTCTGTGATTTGTTGCCTTTCCTGTCTTTTCTTTTTACTCGACCTTCTCTTGGTATTTACATTCAGCAGTGGCTTTGTGTTAATCACTACAAATTTTCATTCTCTTAATCAGTTGCTCTTCTTTGGGTCGTTCCAGTGTCTGACATTTAAGTCTTTAAAAAAAAAAAAAAGGCTAAATTTTAATAGTCCTTTTAACTTTCCAGCTTCTTTCTTTTGTTTACTTGAAATGAGCTGCTGTTCTGTCGTGCATTCCTTTGGAGCCTCAACCACAAATATCAACCTTTCTCCCTTTTTCATATATTATAAATTAACATAGTTCTTTGATCTGATCATAATATTCCAGGTCTTCACATGGTCTCTTTTCATTATACTTTTCTGGTGCAGTTTTCCAGCTGAATTTGTCAAGTTCTTCTCTGCCCATGTGTTCAAGTTCAGTAATATTTCTCTGGAATGACTGATATTTTAACTTCCAGTTTGGCAACAAAATAGATTTCTCTATTCAGCAAATTTCTGTTCCTCTAGGACCTAGTGTCTGAGTCATCAAGATGACAGACCACATCTGTGTCACCATTTCCAGTGGCATTTTGTTTATCAGTGTCTTTTTTGAGTATTTCTTTAATCCATATCTTGCCAGTATTGCTTAAGCAGGAGAACATGAGACACTGAATGGAATGCCTCACTAAAATCTCACCGTTTACATAAAGCCCTTCTCAGAGTTCCTAAGAATCTCTGCTTAGTCTCATCTTCATTGATCAAGGTTCTCATATGAATAAGTGACATCAGTTTGTGTTCTCACAGAGAGGATCACAAAAGAAATCACATATACTGAGTATCTACTGTAAGTCAGACCCCTTATGAGCATGCATGGCTTGGCTCTGAATGTGATCGGAATTTTTTACAACCCTATCATAGCTTCTATTCAGCACTTTTCTTCACTTCCCAAATTGTTTATCCTGTGTTTGATTTTTGTTCCCTGTTGGCAGTCAACCAATCTCCAAAATAATAGCAACCATTCAGTGGTAACTTGCTATATGCCAGGAACTATATTATACTCTTTACATAGATTTTTCTCTTTTAATCCTTGAATATCTTGTGAATTCATGTTTCAGCTTAACATTAAGCTGCAAAAAATGGACCCCAAAACCAGATTAAACAACAAATGACTGGTTTTATTTTTCTCACATTAAAAAGTGGAGGTCAGCAGTTCAAGGCTAGTAATGCAGCCCCATGATGCCCTCATAGACCCAGATTCTTCCAACTTCCTGCTCTTTCATACTTTGTATGTGGCCTTCATCCTTGTCACTATAAAACAGTTATGCCACCTGTCATCATGTCCATGTTCTAGACAGAAGGAAAGGAAAAGAAAAAAGCATATGTCATTTGTTTTTGTCCCTCTTTAAAAAGTTTTCCACTTTGGGGCGCCTGGGTGGCTGTCGTTAAGCGTCTGCCTTCAGCTCGGGTCATGATCCCAGGGTCCTGGGATCAAGCCCCGCATCAGGCTCCCTGCTCAGCGGGAAGCCTGCTTCTCCCTCTCCCACTCCCCCTGCTTGTGTTCCTGCTCTGGCTATCTCTCTCTGTGTCAAATAAATAAAAATAAAACTTTTTAAAAAAAATTAAAAATAATAAGTTTTCCGCTTTAAATAAATAAACAAACTTGGGGGCAGGGGGCTTGGCGCCTGGCTGGCTCAGTTGGAAGAGCATGCAACTCTTGATCTCAGGGTAGTGAGTTCGAGCCCCACATTGGGTGTAGAGATTTATCACTTAAATAAACTTGAAAAGTTTTCCAGAAAGGGACACCTGGGTGGCTCAGTTAAGCATCTGCCTTCGCCTCAGGTCATGATTCCAGGGTTCTGGGACTGAGTCCTGCATTGGGCTCCCTGCTCAGCGGGGAGCCTGCTTCTCCCTCTGCCTGCCGCTCCCTCTGCTTGTGCTCTCTCTTTCTCTCTGTCAAATAAATCTTTTTTAAAAAAAGTTTTCCAGAAGGCTCCACCCAATAACTTTCCCTGTCTCTCAATGGCCAGAATTGTCACTTGGCTGCCGCTAATAACTAAGAGATGAAATTAGAGCCCAGGATTGCCTAATTCCAGAACCAGAGCTTGTATCCACTATAGTATAGTGGCCAGGAGTCTGAGAGACACCTGGATTGGAACAGGGCACCACAGGATATGCAGTTAGAGCTCTATACCTCCAATGGATTTTCCTTTTTAAAAGGAAGCCTAAGGGGTGCTTCAGTGGCGCAGTCAGTTGAGTGACCAACTCTTGGTTTCCACTCAGGTCATGATCTCACGGTCCTGGGTTTGAGTCCTGGGTGAGGCTCCACACTCAGCATGGAGTCCGCTTGAAATATTCTCTCTCCCTCTGCCCCTCCCCACTGCATTTGCTCACACACTTTCTCCCTTTCAAATAAATAAATCTTTAAAAAATAATAAATATAAAAGAATAACAGGCAGCCTAAACAGACAGCAAGCAAGAGATTGTCTGCCTCGTAGCTTGACAATAATCTAACCATTTGTAACTAGCATTTTTCATTTTCTCTTCAGTCAGCCTGTGAGATTAGGTAAACTGAGGTCCCTCTTCCCTTTTCCCCTCTCCCCTTTTATCTGTTATTGATCAGATCTACATTAATATTTTTTTAAGATTTTTTATTTCTTTATTTGAGAGAGAGTGCAGAGTGAGTGGGAGAGAACACGAGTGGGTAGGGAGAGGGAGAAGCAGGCTCCCCGCTGAGCAGGGAGCCCAATGCGGGGTTTGATTTCAGGACCCTGGGATCATGAGCTGAGCCAAAGGCAGACACTTAACTAACTGAGCCACCCAGGTTCCCCTTATTACTTCATTTAAAGGTAGAACTGGTCAGGGGCGCCTGGTAGAACTGGCTCAGTTGGTTAAATAAATGCCTTCAGCTAAGGTCATGATCCCAGGGTCCTGGGATCGAGCCCCATATTGGGCTCCCTGCTCAGCGAGGAGTCCACTTCTCCCTCTGCCTGCCGCTCCCCCTGCTTGTGCTCTCTCACTCTCACTCTCTCTCTTTATCAAATAAATAAAATCTTTAAAAATAAATAAATAAATGAAGTAAAAAATACTTTTAAAAAACACCTGAGTTAGAGGGATGCATTTAAATGCAAAACTATTTCATGACACATACTACATTCTCAAACTTAAAAAGATAATGTAGGGGCTCCTGGCTGGCTTGGTCAGTGGACCATACAACTCTTGATCTTGGGGTGGTGAGTTTGAGCCCCATGTAGGGTGTAGAGATTACTTAAAAATAATTTTTAAAATCTTTTTTAAGGGGCGCCTGGGTGCCTCAGATGAGTAAGCGTCTGCCTTCAGCTCAGGTCATGATCTCAGGGTCCTGGGAACGAGCCCCGCATCAGGCTCCCTGCTTGGCAGGGAGCCTGCTTCTCCCTCTCCCTCTACTGTTCCCCCTGCTTGTGCTCTCTCACTCTATCAAATAAATAAATAAAATCTTTAAAAAATTTTTAAAAATAAAATCTTTTTTTAAAAAAGATAATGTAGGGCGCCTGGGTGGCTCAGTTGGTTAAGCGACTGCCTTCGGCTCAGGTCATGATCCTGGAGTCCCGGGATCGAGTCCCATGTCGGGCTCCCTGCTCAGCAGGGAGTCTGTTTCTCCCTCTGACCCTCTTCCCTCTCATGCTCTCTCTCATTCTCTCTCAAATAAATAAAATCTTTTAAAAAAATAAAAATAAAGATAATGTACTGGGGCGCCTGGGGGGCTCAGTCGTTGGGCGTCTGCCTTCGGCTCAGGTCATGATCCCAGGGTCCTGGGATCGAGCCCCTCATCGGGCTCCCTGCTCCGCGGGAAGCCTGCTTCTCCCTCTCTCTCCCCCTGCTTGTGTTCCCTCTCTCGCTGTGTCTCTCTCTGTCAAATAAATAAAATCTTTAAAATAAATAATAAAGATAATGTACATAAAAGGGCTTTATTCATTTATAAAGCATTAGACATGTTAGATAATATTTAATATAAATATATGTTAATCCTATTTATATGTAGTTTACATAGTTTCAGGCTGCCTGTAAACTTTTTTTTTAAGATTTATGTATTTGAGAGAGTGGGGGAATGTAAGAATCTCAAGCAGACTACCTGAGATCATAACCTGAGCCAAAATCAAGAGTCAAAGGCTTGACCAACTAAGCCACCCAGGCGCCCCTGCCTATAATCTTTTTAAATATATATATATTTTAAGTAATCACAGCCAACATGGGGCTTGAACTCCCAACCCCAAGATCAAAAGTCGCACGTTCCACCGACTGAGCCAGCCAGGTGCCCCGAAGACCTCTGATTTTAAACTTTGAAAACATGTAAAACCTGTAGGTTAGCACTTAACATATAAGTAACACCTTTCCTGCCTTTGGTAAGCGGGTATCCTGATGAAAGTACGTGAAACCAAAGATTGTCAGAGGCTGTAGTTTCAATGAGTTAATCATGGGTACCCAAATGTATATAGAAGACGTAATATGTTGTCTTGAGAAAAGCACGAAGTGAAACAGAAGATTATTCTCCAACACCTTTCATGTAGTGAAAATTTTCCCAAAGTCCAACTAGAAAGGCTGTTGTTGGTAGGCTCAGCGTGTAAACTGCATCTAGCATATGTGTTTAAAAATGCATAGAGGAGACGAACCATGAGACACTGGACTCTCAGAAACAAACTGAGGGTTTGGGGAGGGGAGTGGGGTGGATGGGTTAGCCTGGTGATGGGTGTTAAAGAGGGCACGTACTGCATGGAGCACTGGGTGTTATACACAATGAATCATGGAACACTTCATCAAAAACTAATGATGTAGTATATGGTGACCAACATAATAAAATTAATAAAAAAATTTTTTTAAATGCATAGAGGAGGGCGCCTGGCTGGCTTAGTCTGTAGAGCATGCAAGTCTTGATCTTGGGGTCGTGAGTTCAAGCCCCACATTTGGGGCAGAGTTTACTTAAAATTTTTTTTAAATAAAAATGCATAGAGCACA